ATTTCTGTTGTGATCTTACTATGTCTTAGGTACACTCTTCCGTATCGATCGATCATACGATGTAATACAAAAAGTATTTCAATTGCTTAAAAAACTGGAATTTCCTGAATCACTAATGTCGTCAAATTTTTCAGTTTATTTCACTATGCATGAGAATCTAAAGCAGAGTTATTCGATCCACATCGCAAATATTATACGATCGTTTACCACCTCTCTGGTTAATCTAATAAAATCCTTTCAGTAGAGGGTCAGCGGCGTTTACGCCGCGTTACTTGTGAAATATTGTTAAATGTTTTTCTCTTTATGATCGCTGGTTTCGACACAACTGCAACTGGATTAGTCTTTTCAACGTATGTTTTGGCTACCGAACCTGAAGTTCAGAAAAAACTTCAACAAGAAATCGATGAAAATTGGCAAGAAAATGAATCCGATTATGATTCGATTACGAATATGACCTACATGCATTTAGTTGTACGCGAAGTATTTCGCTTATACAGTTTTGCTGGTAAAGTGAGAATTCGAGAATGTAACGAAAAAACTATTGTTTGTGGTCATCAGATAGAGAAAGGTAAGAGGAAAATAAACTTTTATTATTTAGAACCTAGAATAGAAACAGATGAAATGTACTAAGGCATAAATGATATATGCATAGATAATTCTATTTCTTCATTGTTTAGATGTTGTCATTATGCCGGACTTATATTCAATTAATCGCTGAGCAGAATCTGTCGAACACATCAGTCACAGTTGACTGTAATACAAATATATTTGTTCAAGCCACACAGTGGTCTTCTCATCTCTGAATTCGATTTATTGTATAGGAACTTGACCGATTCGAATTGAGCTCACGGAAAATTATTTTAAAAACAATTCTGAAAAAACGAAGAAAGAGCTGACGCGCCATAAATCTGCGATATGATGTCACGTTTTTATACACTTCGTACCCGATATTTGTTTTACTGTCTAGTCGCATAAAACATAGTTTTATATCAATTCGAACATCATACGATTGTTTATTAGATCTCGGTGCGAGCCTGAATTAATGCACTTTTATTTTTATTCAGTACGAACTCTTATGCTGAACAGTGTCAAATGTGCCATATACAATTTGATACTTTCTCTTTTTTTTAGCAAAACGTTTTTACAACTAAAGTTTAAAATCGATATGTCTCTGTAATTGGCCTGGCCAGATTAGTTGCGTATATTAATACACTAGGTCTTAAATGAAAACTCGCTGTCGAAGATGTGACGTGTTTCGACAGAGAAAAACGGACAGAAAGGTCAACACAAGATTCATAATGATAAACAAAATCCGCATAGAACCATAAAGTAAAATATCACTGTGTATTGTGTTCAATATAATAACAACAATTGAGCACTGACCAATACGATACGGTGTACCATTGCCAAATCTCGTTGAATCCGTAGCCGTTGGTTACCATTCATTCTTGATGAAGTTTGACAAGCATACATTACCAAACGACGATATAGAACAGCGAGAGCAATATCTGATACAACGAATGTCAATGCACTCAATTGTAAATAGAAGATCAAGTCTTGAAAATGCAATAAGACATAGATTGTCTATTTTCACTTTTACCATGTTACCTGTTAGTAAATCAGGTAAAGCGAAACTGAAATCGAACATCCATTGAATCAGAACACTCAATAGTGTACGAATTGGTGTACCTAGCAGCTTGAGTCTTTTAAATTTTATATATTTTTCTATTGCTTGTTTAAAACTAGGGAATGATGGATATAATCAATAGTAGAATGATGCAGATAGCCACATAGTGCACATAGAGAATCAATGTTTGGTACTAATTGTTGATCCCAGGTTAGCATGTAGACAGCTACTGCTACATGATTGGCTGAAAATAGACATATACCCAAAATAGTATTACAAACAAATAGAGTAGCGAAATCGTAGCATCTTTTTCTTTAAATAGTGGCAATGATTAGACAAGTAAGCGATAATAGACAGGTGAAAGATGCAATGATTATGTATATGTGATTGCTGATTGAAAGAAACCCCATCTTACTTCAATCTTGTTTAGTGAAAGAAGTTAACTTTAATACAATATATTGTCTTGATGAATCGAAGCAAAAAACTTGCATAAAATCTGAAATTGATTAGGCACTTGTGTATTTTTAATATATACTAACAATCGGCAGTGGTTGTCGTTGTAAAAAAGTAAAATTGTAACTGAATGCTTTTTTTTAATAATGTGAACATAATTTGCTCTTTGCAAAAAATATTATGATACGTTCGCACGTTACGCAAGTGAATATTTCATTGATTGCCTACTATAGAAATAGACTATTTCATTTCATTGTGAACATAGTTGACTTGTTATATTTTACATAACTAAGGTAAACAGGTTGAAAGATATTTTTTTCCTCTTTCCTTATTTTTTTATGTTTTTTTTCTCTATGTTCCCTTTTGACAAAATTTCAGGGAAACTATTTGAAACATCAATCCTTTATTTACCTGAATATCATACGTTTATGATAGTAGCTTCAAAAATGTGTACACGCAACAGTGAAAGTCACTCATTAAAGCTTCTGGTTGAATTTTCTGTGTGTATCGGACTGAAATTTAAGTAATAGGTTTAGACATGTATACATTTTCGCTTTAGGTGTGAGTGTTAACAAGTAGATGACTCACAAAACATACACTCATCTTGAGACTGGGGGTTGGAAATGGAGGGTATGAGATTATTGGATTAAATCTATATCTTCTGTACGGATGCTTCATAAATATTACCAATAATAAGTAACAATCTTACCTTATGATTTATTACTACTATTAAGTAATACAAGCATGAGACAGTACGAACATTTGTAATTATCTTTACGACTTCTGATTTTACACGAGCACATCGTTCCAACGCTAAAATTTAATTTCTGCGACATAGGTTACGTCGACTTTATATGCGATATCAATAACATCAGTAAAATTTTTCTGAACTCATCTATATAGAAAGACAACGAGCCTGGCAACGTTAAAAGCAAGATTTTGTGATTTCCACCTCGCCCACTCAATACAGACACTATAGGATATGAGTAATTCTCTCTTTCAAACATTAGAGACAGAGTAGATGTTCTCCATAGAGTTTTGCATGGAGCTAATTTACATTACTTTAGTGATAGTAAAACATAGTTTAATGCCTTATTTCAGTTCGAATAAAACTGTACTAATAAGCTGTTTGAGATTCTAGCAACTTACGACACGACTAGAAGGGCACCGCAATACAAAAAATAGAACATCAATTTGATTGTTTCTTGAGTTTCATCTAAAAAAAATCAGGGAGTAACTAAAATGAATGTTCGCACGTCCTAATGAATTAAAATTTCTATATTGAATCTGGTTTAGTTTTATTAAAATTATCCAGTGTTTTTCAACCAAAACGATGATAACGTTATATGATCGATTCAGTTTGATTTCTTTTCCATTCTGTTTTACTCATTGCTGGTAGTCAATGAGTCAAGAGAAAAAAATAATAAAACTAATTTATATCTTACTGATAATTGCAAAACAAAGAAACTAATATTAACAAAATATTATTTTTAAAAAAAACTACCATCAAGATTAATAAGTAATACGCATACTAAGATTTATTGTCCATCACACAGTGATATTTAGTTTCCTTTTTAGCAAAATGCTTCAGCTATCAAATTTTTAAATCGATGTGTCTCTGTGATTGGTCTGACCAGATTAGCTGCAAATATTAATACATTAGGTCTTAACCAAGATTCATAATGATAAACAAGATCCACATAGAACCATAGTGTAAAATATCACTGCGTATTATGTTCAATAAAAACTGGACTACCAACCAGAACCAATTGAGCGTGGAGCACTACAATACGACGCATCATTGCCAGATCTCGCTGGATTCGTAATCGCTGGTTACCATTCACTCTTGATGAAGTTTGACGAACATACATTACTANATACATTAGGTCTTAACCAAGATTCATAATGATAAACAAGATCCACATAGAACCATAGTGTAAAATATCACTGCGTATTATGTTCAATAAAAACTGGACTACCAACCAGAACCAATTGAGCGTGGAGCACTACAATACGACGCATCATTGCCAGATCTCGCTGGATTCGTAATCGCTGGTTACCATTCACTCTTGATGAAGTTTGACGAACATACATTACTAAACGACGATATAAAACAGCGAGAATCACATCTGATACAACGAATGTCAGTGCACTCATAGTAAATACAAGATCAAGTCTGTCGAATGAAACAAAACATAGATTGTCGATTTTCATTTTTACTATGTTACCTGTTAGTAAAACAGGTAAAATAACAGTAAAATCGGATAAGCATTGAATAAGAACGATAGAAAATTTACGAATTGGTCTATCTAGCAGCTTCATTTTTTTATTTTTACATATTTGTCGATCGCTTGTATCAATGTTTGACACTAATTGTTGATCCCACACCAGCATGTAGATAGCGATCGCTACACTATTAGCAGAAAATAGAAAAATCTCTAGAATAGTATTGCAAACTAGGAGAGTAGAGAAATCGCAGCATAGTTTTTTGTAACAAAAAAAAACAGATTAAATTGTGCCTGCGCCGTATTTTATTATGAAAGACTGATTCGCTACTATCAAAAAATATTATGATACTTCTGCTATGATAATCACATGAATCCTTCATTAATTGCCTGCGAAGAAAATATACTAGCGAATTTCATCATGATTATTGTGTTGGTTTGCTAGATTTGTTATGCTTGACAGTTTTTATGAAAACAACCGCCATACACGTAGAATGGAGAAATATATTATCTATTTTTATTTTTTTAAAGTGTTTTCTCTGGTCCGTTCGCGACAAAATTGCAGAAAAAAATGTAAAAATATATCAATTCTTTATTTGTACGAGTATTCGACGATTCTGATAGAAGCTTCAACACCTTCTGTTACGACATAGTGAGAGTTATTCATGTAAACTTTCAGATCGATTTTCTAATTGTATCGTACCAAAATGTAAGAGATACATTTGGTCAGTATGACTTTTCGCTTCGGATGTGTGTCTTGATAGGTAGATGACTGACAAATATGGGCACTACATAAATATAACCAGTAATAGCTAATAGAAATACGATATAGTATAACAATTTCTAATAATATTTTCGACCTCTACTTTTACATTCTTCGTTAAAATGTTATCTTCAATTATCGACAACACTTGCTACTTTCAATGTGTATGCAACAGTAATAAAATAAGCTTAGTTTTCCGAAACTTCATTATTTAAGAAGACAACGGGAATTATTAGTTTAAAGGCAATATTTTCAGGTGTCTCTCAACACAGACAATAAATCGTCTATAATCTTAGTTAATTAAATTATAAACATGAGAGTAATTCTATTATACAGATCTCTAAGATGAAGTAGACTTTTACCAGTTGATACTCCACTAATACTAAAAACAAGTATATGAAACTTACGCCGATTTTACTGATAAGTGGAAAAGAAATTTATCATATTATCTAAAGTAATAAGTGATAGACGTAAGAAAATGCATTGCCCATCACAGAATGATATTGATTTTCTTTATTGGCAAAATTATTTAGTTATAAAATTTTAAAATCGATTTGTCTCTATCATTGGTCTCACCCGATTTGTACTCGATATTAGTACGTCAGATTTTAAGTGAAAACATTTGACAACGATTTGCCGAAGCTGTGGCGTGTTTTGAAAAAGGATAATGGCCAGAAAGGTCAAACCAAGATTCATAATGATGAATACTATCCGCATAGAACCAAAAGGTAAAATATCGCTACGGACTGCGTTCAATATAATAACAACAAGTGCTGGACTGCCAACCAGAACCAATTGAGCGTGGAGCACTACAATACGACGCATCATTGCCAGATCTCGCTGGATTCGTAATCGCTGGTTACCATTCACTCTTGATGAAGTTTGACGAACATACATTACTAAACGACGATATAAAACAGCGAGAATCACATCTGATACAACGAATGTCAGTGCACTCATAGTAAATACAAGATCAAGTCTGTCGAATGAAACAAAACATAGATTGTCGATTTTCATTTTTACTATGTTACCTGTTAGGAACACGGGTAGAGAAAAACTAAAATCGAACATCCATTGAGCTAGAACAATCGAAAATTTACGAGTTGGTGTATCTAACAGCTTCATTCTTTTAATTTTCACGTATTTTTCTATCGCTTGTAAAATAAATGAATGATGAACATAAGCAATAGTAGAATGATGCAGATAGCCACGGAATGCACATAGATAATCGATGCTTGGTACTGATTGTTGATCCCAGATTAGCATGTAGGTCGCCATCGCTACACTATTAGCAGAGAATAGAAAAATGCCCAGAATAGTATTGCACACTAATAGAGTAGAAAAATCTCTGCATTTCTTTCGATGAATAATAGCAGTCATCAAACAAGTAAACGACAATAGACAGGTGAAAGATGAAATGACTAAGTATATGCGATTGGTAATCCAATGAAAATCCATTTTGCTTCAACTTGTTGTATGAAAGAAGTAATTATTTTGGATGCATGGGAGTAAAAAACTTGAATAAAACCTGTGATTATTTATGCACTTCTGTATTTTTAATATACGCACAGAACAAGTAGTGGTTGTTGTTTTAACAAAAAAGAAGGAATAGATTATAACTGGACGTCCTTTTTTTTTTATAGTGAGGAGATGATTTGCGCCTTGGAAAAAAAGATTATAGCATGTTCGCTGCGTGAAACAAATGGATGCTTCATTTATTGCCTGCTAAAAAATATAATAGTTCATTTCATCATGAATATAGTTGATTTGCTAGACTCTTTTTGACTTGACTATCATGATGAAAATAATCGTCGGACACGTTTAATGTAGAAATATGTTTTTCCTCTTATCTCTGTTTCTCCTGAACAGAATTGAGAGAAAAAAAGTTGAAAAAGCAGTGGCTTATTTCGATGGATATGCGACGCTTTTGATACAAGTAGGGGTGTCACATTTTAATTTTGAAAGCTAGTAGATAAACATAGTTTTTGACTTGATTGCTACTATTTGAAGTCAAGTTTGAGTATGTTTCCTGTTTTCTAAAGTTAAAGCTAGTCATTCTTCTACGAATTGTGTGCTATTAAATATATTTTTGTGAGTATCCCGGTATTTTGAAGAAGAAAGATCACGGATCCTGCCTAATATGTAGAGAAAATTTTGACTATTATGAACAAATAGTAACCTAAAATACTGGGTTCTCCTCTCATTTAGTATTTACTACTGTTAAAGTCACTTATTTTCTTCATAGCAATGATGAGTATTCATCCAAACAATTTATTAAATTTAAATGATTTTTCAGTCCAAAAACTTAATTTAAATTTAACATGATAGGATTTAATTTTAAATTAAATTAACTTTTCGCGAAGTTAAATTTAAATTTAATAAACTGTAAATTGACACCCCTAGATAGAAGTTTGCATACTTTATCTTGCACTAAACCCCCCTACAGAATAGAAGCCCACGGGTGGTGTCTCTGTTCCGCAAGCTATAATTTTGTAACAAAGCATGTCCTGACGCCAGTTTTTGCGTTATTTGATAGAGAAAAGTTCATCCTTTCATTTTTCATCGGTTTTAGTTCATTTTTCATAAAGTAAACCTTGATTTTCAACGGAGAAATCTAACCCAGGCGGTGGGGTTCTATCTTGAAGGTGTGGGTTAGCACGGATATGGGAAGGCTAATGCGCAGACCTACTCATCCACGCCCACGTTGAAATTCGGTCTGCCATGAATAGGTATGGACGCAATGGTGCTAATCAATACAAAACTGAGTATTAGCGTGATCGCCATGTAATATCTATAGAAATGAAAATGCCAAAAATAGATTACTAATGATTTCTAATAAATAAGAAACCGATTGATATTTCAATTTTATGCACTGCTAATTTGTATTATGGGATGCTATGAAAAAGAAGGAGCAATCTATTTTTTAACTAACATTATATTTGAAAATTGTTATGACGGTATTATTGGGACGATCCAATGCTGAATGATCAATTCCAATAATCGTTCGACTTCAGTTCAATATGGATGAGTAAAGATAAGATCAATATCTGAGCCGATCGATAACCGACTGAAAACAAGCAATAATCAATATTTTGAAGCTATCATATTCACTCGATTGTACGTCAAGCTCATCATTACTTGATAAAACTAGAATGAATTTTATGATTCTAAGCATGCATTTCCATATAGAGATAGTACTAAGCAATACTGTTTTCTTTTAATATAATGATATACATTCATTTATTGTTGGTGCTCAATAGGCATTGATAAAAACGAAAATCTAACTGTTGAAGGTAATCGGTCTTAAAAGTAATAGGTGATGTATAGGTTATCGCTTGATAAAAAATGGGGCTGTGTTTCATCATTTGTCGTTACTATCGGATTCAAGACATAAGAATAGCGATGTCTTGTTGTTTGGCAAGACTATTGATTAAGTGCATACACATGTAAAACTATTCACAGGTACCGAATTCTATTGGAAAGAATGCCTTACAGTTCTTATCAAATTTAGAGTACACTTCCAATTGATTATTTATGCCATTATTTTCCAGTGACAAATTGCTCTTATCCAGGTTTGCGGCTCGAATTTTTCGGTTGCTGTGCATAAAAATCATTTCGATAAGCTTCAAAAATTAACTGTGTGATATCAGTAATTACAAGTTACCTAATCTAAACTTAGAACAAGAAAAATCTTAATCAATTTGTTCGGGTGATCTCACGTACTTATTAACTTAATCAACTCTCGTACTTTTATAGTACACTTAAAAATGCAAAGATTTGGCGTCTCCTGTGTGGCAGTACAACAAAATATTGTTTTTAGATAAAATCTGATATCTAATAACGTACAAACTTCATTTCACGTTTCAGTCTGACAAAAGGGTTATGTTTTCATCAGGCACATTACGCATATACCTGATTTTGCAAAATTCTAGGTTATTATAAAATTTTAACTTGTACTGATTTTTGGTAAGTGACGGAATGCATAATATGAGCTTTCTTTTGTTTAACAATATGTATTTGGTTACTGCTAAAACATCAATTATAATTGCCACCCTTAGTTTATACCTACGTCGTACAACTACTGACAGTAAAGTGAATTGCTAGATTGAAAATTCGATCACTCACATACTGTTTTTTTCCAGGAATTCGAAATCCGGTCAAAATAGAAAAGATTCTACAAAAATGATTTACTGTTACATAATTCTTTAAAAATTATCAAATTAAACGAAAATATATATGCTGAACACGGATAATTATAGTATGTTCGTCTATTCAAAAACAATTCTCGGGGAATGAGCTCAATGCATCTAAATCAAACTTACTAGAAAAATTGCTGTTTTAATAGTATTGCTTCTACTAGAGCATTCGAAATTATGGAGCTGATATGCTTCTTTATCAGGGTAATCGAAACTTAAATAGTTTTCGAGTGAATGATGTGTTCGATTAGTAGATAGTATTCTTTCAATAGGTGCTCCTTCACGCAGTCCTGAAGGGTGTAAACATGCTTTAGCCATCGATACTAAGTGTCTGATACAATGAAGTTTTCATATGTTCTTAATTTGATGGTTGTCTTGGAGTTTGAAATTTTCTAGAGCTCTTCTCACTCGTCATATATTTTTGCCAAGCATGGATGAGTGCAGAACACTTTGAAATATACTATTTAGGTATCGATTATATATATTTGAAGAGAATCGCAACACTAATATCAATATACAGAGGCAGTTGAATTAAATAACTATTGGAATGAAATGCAAAGTTCAATCATTTGAAAAGCTATATCTATATGTTGCACAATATAGTGGTCCTAAAATTAGAGAACTTGATTATATGAACACGTTTGTGTCCTCCACACCATCAGCATCCTCTGCAAAACAAATGTGATAGGGGTATATCTTTCTTCTACAAATAAATTGACCTTCTTAAAAATGTCATGTTAGTAAATGCTATACCCTGGTAAGAAATTATCGATTAATTTTCTGTCTTATCATTTGTACAGATTTAATGATAACAAAGATAAATAGGCAGATAACCTAAAGCACAGTTGTATTATATGGATTAACCATATGAATATCAGAAGATACATGTCGAATAAAGAGCAAATCATAGCTACAAATAAATATCCAATTGTGATAATAAAGTAAAGCTTTCACCAAGCTCATATTTACATGATTGAGAACCAAAAAGAAAGCCTATCTGATGAAACGAGTAGCGAATGCGTTGAGATACCGTATGATGTTACACTGGAAAATGTATTGAGAAGATGTGGAGATTTGGGTCGTTATCAATTGATTCACTATATCTTTTTGAATTTTATTGCTGCTGCAAGTGGCATAAACGCCTTCTACTATGTATTTGGAGTTGCTGAGCCTCTGTTTCGATGTCGTCTCCCATCGAATATGTGGGCTGATGACGATCGATTCGAATCGATTAATAGCACTCATCAACTTTTAATCGATACATGTCAATCACCGACATCGAGATGTCAATTGGTGAATGGATCAATATGTACCGAATTTATCTATGATCGCAGTGTCTTTGGAAGAACATTCACCGAGGATGGTCAATATATTTGTCATAACGCAATCAAAAGAACATGGCTGTCAACCGTATATCAGATTGGACCGTAAAAGATTTACTAAGTTCTGATGAAATGCTCTAAATATCGATATATATATATTTTTTTTATAGATGCTTTGCAATCATTAGTGGAATAATCAGCGATAAAATAGGACGAAGAAAAGTGATTCAAGTATTAACAATTGCAATATTCATTATTCCTGTCATCATTCAATTACTTCTACAAGTTGTACCCATGTCTATGAATATGAAGTAAACTTTCCGCCTTGTCGATGTCATTGTATAAACATTTCCATTTTAGATTTCCATTGATGCTATTCAATCAATTTATTTCAAGCATTGATCCATTCGGCATTATCTTTATCCTTCTCATGGAGCTAGCATCATCTTCCCATCGAACCCTTGCCGGTAATTCTGCATTGATCAGTTACACATTCGGTGAAATTGTTATTACTCTATTTGCTTACATTACTCGGAACTGGCTCACACTGAAATGGCTTAATAGCGCGTACTTTGCTCTACTTATGTTCTATCTTTATTTTGTACCTGAATCACCTTATTGGTTGTTAAGTATGAAGAAATTTGATAGACTCGAAGCTTGTCTGAGAAAAATTGCAAAAACTAATGGTCGTGCTGACATTGAATGGTTTTTTTATTACGAGAAATTGATTCAAGATCATCGGGTCACAATATTGATTATAAAACCGTCGAAGAAAAAACGCATTGCCAGTTTTGCACCTAAACTATGCGTGTGTGGCCTTATTGGATTCGTTACTATGCTTCTCTATATTAAAATATCCTATGGATTGGCTCTGATGAATAATACTCTTAGTCCACATTTAAGTATTGTTATTGGAGCTATTGTCGAGGGTATTGGATATTTATCAGCCAATTTTGCAATGATTACGCGATTAGGAAGAAAGTATGCTTTGATAGTTTATGCCTTGTTTACATCAGGCTGTGTGATAGTCATGCCATTCATTCAAGATCATCATCCCATTGCAACTATTGTCGTTTCACAGCTAGGGAAATTGGCTATAAGTGGTACTGTGTCAGTATCGTGGATTTATGTTCCGGAACTGTTTCCAACATCAATGCGTGGTTTCAGTAATGCCGTTTTGATCTTTTTTGGTCGTTTTGGAGCCATTCTAGCGCCTATCATTGATGCTACCCTAGGCAATCAATATTCGAAAATTACTTTTTATGTTTATGCAGCATTAACTCTCGTCATCATTGTTCTGGTCCTGTTCTTGCCAGAGACACGTAACCGATTGTTTGAGGATATGGAAGAAAACTCGACTACAGATCCAGTTACGAATGATAACAAAGAAAATAATCATGAGAATCCGACCAAAACAGATGCTCAGTGAAGAAATTTAAATTTCAACATCATCAAAAAATGCTTATATTATTTCAGTCGTATTTAAGCTAAGAATAAAATTTCTTCTTCTACGCATATTGAACTAACCATATAGTAATGATTTTCCAGACCGCATGTTGGTCAGTCATGCTCGAGTGACACTAATCTCAGTAGTTTTCACTGATGAATTAGCCCTTTTGTCATCCTTTTCTATCGTCTTCGAATGTAATTTCTCATAAGATATCTCAAGCTTGTTCAACACCTGTTTATTTTCGATCAAAAAGGGTGTGTATGTAAATCGAACAAAAAACAAGGGGATGAGGGTGTGGATGAGAAGCTGTTTAGATTCAATCGCATAGAATCATACCCACACCTTAGATTACGAAAGATACTTTTATAATAAAAGAAATTGAGTGTAAACATATTTGGCATGTGTGAGTTAAAAACATGAAAAATTACATTTCAAAAATCATTTTTGCTTAAGAACATAGACTTCGATTTCAACAGTTTTGAAATAATGTGAGCCAGTGAATGTAAGACGTCCTTTTCCAGTCGAATCAATATAATCCGTAGGAAACATAATAGTACTGCGAGTATTCTGATTACTATCCGAATGAATACAAATATCTTCAAAGCCAAAGGTTGGTCCCATGCTTGCTTTACAACCAATTGCATTTCGACCTTCAGTATTTATTTGATATTTAGTAGGCAAAATTTTATGTGGATTAATTAGTGTGAATAGAAATGCATCTTTATCCACTGACCATTGCCAATCCTCGTGAGTTTCCCAATTGATCGATGTATATCCACCAAATAGGTGCCCGCTCGACGAATGAATTACAGTCAATGTTGCACCTTTTCTATCACAACAACGATAAAAATCAGTACTAGCAAATCCATCGCGTGTAGCTTTGTACGCAAGTCGCCACATTTGATTTCGTTTTCCATAAAATTCGTTCAGTTGATTTTGATGTTCTTGGCAAAGTAGTGTTCCATCAGGAAAATATTGTTTTCCACGACGCATATCTTTTTCAAATGAGATTTGAAGTTGTGAGTTTAATTTGATGGGTGGTATTGCCATTTTGACACGTGGTTTATGTATATTCAAATCAATTTGAATTTGATTAAGTTTTTCACTTAAGTGTTTGATATCCTGTTCGAAATAATTATTTTCAAATTTACATTTCCGTAATTCCATTGAAATTTGATCTAAATCAGCCTTGACAGTTGAAGTTCTTAGTGTCATCAATTCCTTGATGCGATTTCGTACACGTTCGGCTGTTTGTGTGACACTCTTCACTGCTTGCTCCTCCCATTGGTTTATATCATGAAGAAGAGCCTTTAGTTGGGCTTGCTTGATCTTCGATGAATGATCAACTAACTGATTAGGTAGAATACTTCTATCATGCAATAATTGTGCGAATTTAGTATCTAAATAGTGACGATGCTCACGAAAATGTATTGAACAAAAACCATTCGCACATCCATCACATTGAGCGATACCCGGTTTTTTACAGCACGAACATTTTGCTGACAATATTTCAGCCATGTAAATCTTAACAATAATATGCACTTTCTTACAAAACAACAAGACAAGAAGACAAAATGAAAATTTAACGACACGAAAGAGAAGGCATTTTTGACAGGTAGGAGTCATATGATGTTGCATTAAAAGCGAAACCTCATAAAGAATAGTTTTCTTTTAGTTCGTTGACATGCTTCTTTTTTTTTGTTCACATACAACAGGCAGCTATTAAGAGAAAAAACTACATGCCGTCTCTTCTAGTATGCACAACAAAATAAAAGTAAAGACAGCATATAGTTAATTGCATTTACACACTTTCTAAACGACGAGCAAAATATTTTATTGACGATTCAACTTTCTACATTGAGTATAAACTACGTCATGATATCGAAGTTTTGAAGATACATCAATCATATATATATATATATATATATTCTGAAATACTGATTTAATTATGCTCGATGCTTTCTTTAGGGAAAAAGTTTCCCGACACCATTCATTACAAATTTTTATTTATTTTTGAGCTCTGCATGAAGAATATAGAGTCAGAAAAAGATTGTAATCCAGTTGAATTTACGTGCCATATTCTGCTCATTTAAATAATACGTGAAAACAACATTTTTGGATGAGCTATACCGAAAACATTTGCAAGAAAATCGGCACTGCTAATTTTAGAAGGACATTAGTTTTTATCGAACGGAAAAATATTTAAACTCTGAAATTTATTTCAGTTATAGAATGTTTTTTTGCATCTACTCTAAAATTTTGAGTCAAATGAAATGACTCATTAAGTAGTAATAAAGCATTCAATTTTCAAATCGTCAATCTAGAAAAAAAAATTGATAATGCATCGTTGAGGGATGTCGAGGACAAGAAGGTCTACACCCGCATCCTGAAACGCTAATTTTGAGGATGTGGGTGTGAGCGTAGGATGTTGAATAATTGGCCAGAAGAACCACACCCACACCCAAAGCCTATTCATTTTAATCCGCTTTTAATCAAAAACTACAACAAGTAAAGCACAGATACCTCTTTTTTGCAGCAAGTTTACTGTAATCTCTTCGTCAAGAGTCTTTTTATAATCCATGTTTGTTGAAACTCCTCTTTATAGACCACAGACGGTAGAACATAGAGTATGAATCCGAGGATCTGTGGTAAATAACATATAAAATAGGTTGTTACAAGGGTGTAACGTTGCCATTCTTGCTGGAGTTCGGTGCACGCATATGTAAATGAGAAAATCGTTTGTGGCAGTGCACTTAGGATAATGATAATCGGAGTAAGATAGTAATCTTTGTACATGTAAAATTTTTTCTTGAAAAGTTTTGTAAAGGTCTCACTACCAGTGATCATTGTTCTGTGTCGACTACGTGCAGTGTGGATGATGATAAGAGAAACTGAAAGAAATTGAATTAGAAATGGAATAAAATAGTAGATTATAACGTTTATACGACTATAAACGGAGACTAGTTGCTCGGTGTAATTAGTGACACAGATTGTAGTATTCGCAAGTGCTGATGAAGGATCAACAACTATTGTGTAGTAAATAAATTCATGGGCATGCATTCCGCACGTAGCTAGAACGATGAACACGCTGAAAAACAAAGCAATCCTTGGGTTTCTCAGTGTGAAAGATGTAGGAAACAGCACAACAGCTACGCGTTCAATTGAAACAAGACTGGTAAGCCAATAGTTGATACGTGTAAAGACGGATAGAAAATATGAAACAACTTTGCATGAGTAAAGATTAAATGATTCGTAACTGAACAAGTGACCAGTGCTTCCGAGAATAATTTCAATAATTTTCAAGAAGAGGAATAACAAGGAGCATTGGTTGAAGAGTGAGATGATCATTAAGTAGTTACCAGCACCAACCTTGCGAGGTTTTGGACGAATAAATGTAACCAGACTACAGTAATTGTTGAACAGACCAAACACAAAGAGGATGGTTGTAATCGAAGTGTAAATAGCCGTTGATAATTGACGGTTATTTTGAATATCTTTAACAATTAATGAGTCTAATGTGAAACTCATCATTTCCGTTGAATACTGACATAGTTCTCCGTAATAACACCGCGGACAGAGACATTCAAAGTCAGCTTTATTGCCTAATTCTCCTTTCAAACATATTCCGTTCGCCAGACACAGAGAGCAACGATCCACTATTCGATCGTATATGAAACATTCAGCACGATAGTCGTCTGGCTCACACATACAGAGATAATTCATATCACGAAAACATATGAAAGACGGTAAACTTTTATTCTGTCTACAAAAATCATGGTATGACATGATGATGGCCGTTGCATTGTAAGTATCTGTACCTTTAATAAATAAAATTAGTAGTTTAGATGAGAAACACACACTCTTAGAAGTCAGTCGTTTCTTATTTGTACCTTCAATTAGCGGGCAATAGTTTTCCGATGTTAGATCAACCGTAATATTAACATCTTTTCGCCCAACTGCGAAGTATAGTACAAAATATTTAGGTTCTTCTCTTTCACAATTTTGACCATACACTTTTAATAGTCCAATAGTTGGGGCCGTGATAAGCTTGCGAGAATATGCTAGTTGGATTTGTAGAGGTAAATTACGGTGTACTTGCTGATGTTGCATCAAAAAAGCAAATGTTTTCGGATGGTAATTGTTAAATGCGATAGTTAATGCATTGATATTCATTGGTATTAACAGTGAATTTGTTGATAAGTTCATTTTTATCTGTACTAGACCCCGAGTCAATTCACAGTGATTACCAATAAATGATGAGGTACAAAGACAAGTATAGTTAAGAATATCTTGAGGGGTGTATGTAGGAAAACATGAACCACCGTGTTGACATGGATTTACTGTACACTGATCGTTCTTCAAAGAACATGTTGGACCAAATCTTGCAGCTGAACATATACACAACATACCTTTTCTATTACCTGTCAGGATACCACGATAATTTGGTTTACAAATCGAGTTTGCAAAGCAGTATCCAATACATTCTTCGTAATACAGATCACAGTGCTTTCCATAGAAACCGCTATGACAAGAGCAAAAGTAGTTGAGCGAAGAATTTGAATTTAAAATGTTTTGGCAAGTGCCATGAGATCCACAGGGTTTATTTGAACATGATTCAACTTGTGAAGCTGAGAATGATGAAAATCGAAGGATCTTCGAGAGTCGGTAGACTGGTAGGAAATCAAAATACATTGGATAGTGCCAAATAGCAATTGGTTGAATAGTTTCGTTAAAATATAAGTCAAATGCTTCAAATCTAACACTGTACAACTGAGTACCAGTTCGGTTCGTCTTCTTTGTCTGGGAGTATTTGCCAAATCTTGGATACAGAAAATAGATACCTTGTTTCACGTAGTTATCATTGTTTTCCAGGGCAGAATTCACGTGAAATTCATAATAATCGATAATTTGATCTTCATAAAGAAATGTGACTAGAACTTTGATTGCTGTTACTTGAGGGTGGGCATGATAGTTGGATAAATCTAGATGAGTAGCTACTGTAATTCGATCACTGTAAAATTCACACTGTTCACCGAAAAAAGCTGGAGAACAAAAGCATTTCGTTTCGCCATCGGAGTGTTTGACAGCTAAACCACGATTGCAAAAAAATGGAAGATAATATCCTTCAAATGTTATAGTGTTTGGGTAGATGCGACGTAGGATATCATATACAGATGTATACTTCTTGTTATATGGATAAAGTATTTTCATCATCGTAGAAATATTTAACTTTTCCGTTTCAAAAGATGTCGTATATGTTAATTTTAATTCTGTAGACATTTTTGATGCAAATGCGGGATAATCATTCCATGTCAGTGTTTTCAATTGAGTATCTTTAGATGGTCTATAACTTACTTGTGTCAGTTTCGATTGAATACAACGATATTCGTCTTCTCCATTTTCACATTCCAAGAAGCCGTTACATCGTGCTCTTTTGATACACACGTCATTTAAACACATAACATCTCTCAAACTGTCACACTGACTCAGACTACCGTTCTTAAAATGTTGTCTTTGATAAAAACAAACTGAATCGTAGGAAATCGTCGAATTACCTGGTACCCAAGGATATCGTTCAGTACAAAGAACTGTGTATTCTCCACATACGTTATTAAACATATTATCAAACACAAAATTGAACCCAAGCATTCCGATTGAACCACATTGTAAAATATTCCGTTCGTCAAGACCTGTGAGACAATTGACAATTCCATCCCCGATTTGCGTTAGATTGATGCATGGTGGGTTAGTAGTAAAGTTGAATGGATCATCGACATCAGATCTGAAACACGGATATTCTTTTGAAATGTCACAAATTTTAGAAAATGGGACAGTTGCTTTTTGATAACGACTGCTGCAATCCAATTTGGTTTTAGTTAAATTCATTATTCTTGAATTGTGATCGTTAAATTTTTCTATAATGAATATTCCTTCTTCATCAGATGCATCGCTACAGTCCCATTCACCTTAAACCATGAAAACAGGAGCTGTAGAAAAAATGAAACGAATGCCAGTTGTAAATGTAACTTACCGTCACAAACCCAATTTTGTGGAATGCATTGTCCTGTTTTACACTGATATTCCTTCTTCGGACAAATCCATTTTTGGCATAAATGAGGTATTTCATCGACCCCTGAGGCAGTATCTAGTTTGGAATCACAGTGTGATTTGAAAGGAACTTTCGTTAGAAAGGTCGACGAAGATCCTCCCTCGCTGGTATAGTTGGTTAAACTTGTGGTATTGATGGAAGATATTTTGATATAATTTCGACGATAGAGGCATTCGGCACTATTTCGACTTCGACAAGAAACATTATCTAGTAGAGGGACTCGACTTTTATAGTCGTATTCATCGTGAGCATTAGAACATTCTGGATTGCGGGTGCCAATTACGGCAGGTATTAAACAGGATGATTCGGAAGACGAGCACCGTAAACGGTGACGCTGAATTCTAGGGCATGAATTGAGTTCATTGAATCCTTCCTCATGTGGGTAACAGTCTGCAATACCATCTCTAACTCGATACTTTGAAATGCATCGAATAGAACAGCGAAGTGACACTAGATAGGGGAGATTATTAAATGTTCTCGAAGTATTCCAACAAAACTGATCATATTGTGGCCCTGAATAATTTTGAAATGCAAATGGACTGTGAGCTTCGTCGAAAAACATACGGCAAATTCGATACTCATTTTCAGTGTGAGCTAATAACGGATACATTTCGGCGAATTTCCAACTATAGCCCCATTTTATCGTCATTTGATAACCGATACATTTAATACTGCCGGCATAAATAAGTCCATCAGGCCTCTTATTTCTCCAGTTGCGAACACGGTTGTATACCATGTCAGTATAAGGATTAAGGACTGGGCGATCGAATGGATAGCTAATCAGAGAGGAATCACGACAGGCATCATCGACGAGTTCTGCACACTTATCAGGTGTGCTACAATCACAATCAAGATTAAGAGAATTTGCTAATGCACATTTAACGTGAAATATGCATAAACTTTTATGTCTTGATTTGTCAAGACCTAGCTGATTGTAGTGAAGATGGTACTGCAAACAGTAGCCATCTTCAATTGTCCACAACGAGAGTCCGAATCTTGTAGATGCTTCACACATATAGTTTACGTCTCGAAAATTAAGACAGTGTTCACGATTTCCATTTCTTACGCCGTTTATTCGATCTGCTCTGTTATTTAAACACGTACCTATAAGTTTTGAACAAAAACTACGATAAAAAAAATAAGAGTCTACTTTTTGACAAAACTTACCGTCACCACAAGACCAATGATTATACAGACAGACATGTTCGTCACAACTGTAGGTAGGAATCATGTTACACTCGTAACCGGCTAGTGAACCAACTTCGTCCGAATAATCCATGCAATCATAATCACCATCCAGCCAGTATTCCTCAGGAACACACATTCCATTTGTGCAGCGATATTCATCATCTTCACATTCATTAAATTCAATTTTATCACAATATTCCTCGTCTATACCATTCATGCACTGCTGTTTTCCTAGGGAAAAACGAAAAAGCTCAGTGTTTTGCACCATTGCTATAGTCTCAAATTTATTTACCATCACAAACATGTCTCCAGTCAAGACACATCAAGCCAAAGTTACATTCAAAATAAGCTTGATAGCACGGACGATTATTATGAAGTTGACTTCCGAAACTAATATTCCATCGTGATTCATATTGCTTCCTAATTTCATCATCAAACGACGAACTACCTTGAAAGAACTGGTACTCACAGTATTTACCAAATGTCTGTGGATTCGTACAGTTACAAACATAATTCTCATAACTGACCTCGTTAGAAATAACCGAATTTGACAAATATTTAGCATAGAGATCTGCTTGTTCAACTGCCGTGCTCCATTTCAAAACATCCATCGCCGAAAGGTTTAGCTGACGTAATTCACTGAACTTCCATAGTTTACCGTCATTTTGACAGTTTTCACCAAATCTACGGTCCAATGAACGACTTTCATTTAGTTGCTGACAGTACTTTACACCTCGAGTAATATGTAAAGTGTCTTGCCGTGAAAAGTAAATGCAATCATAGTACTGTAATGACCGAGAGTTTTCCGTATGATAGAGTAAGACTATGGCTTCGCAATACAACAGGTAGAAAAGAAAGACGAAAAACAATTTCCCATCAAAACAATGTTTTTCTAGAATCATGGGTTGTGCAAACTCTTACAAAGAATGAAAGTGAAAATGCATCCGCTCTAAATGATTCTCTTACAAAATATGGCTCATCAGGTCTGAATCGTGATTTTTAAAGTATCAATAAATAGAAATGAATGAACAGATTCTTTTCTTTGTTCTTTTTATTAAAAACACACTAACTCATCGAACTTCTATGTGATTTATATGAGGAACGTCAATCACTCTTTGTTGAGGAAAAGTCATGAATTATTAATTAAATTTTTGACTTTTGAGCTTCAACGTCGACGTCATCGTTTTTCAGGGAAATTCTTCACTTTCTGTTGCGTTTTCAACGAGGAAATAAATATTCTATTTCTTGTTCGCTTCGTCAAACTATTTACCCGTCATTGTTTTAATATAAAAAATGTAAGATAAATGTGATTATATCAATTTTTTGAAGGGTGCGAGTGTGAGTAGAGAGAATACCATTTTCATACCCATACCCAGAATCAAATTGCATACGATCAAAATCATGCAGAAAGTTCAAATGAATATTAGATGTCTCAATTTTTCGTTTTATTATGAGCCAAACGTATTCTACTTACATGGCTACGAACAGTATTCACGTAGTAGTTGAAAGAAATCAACTCCTCTGACTGTTATTGCATCAGAAATATCATTCGTATTTATTCATTATCATACGAAAACCATCCAATTTTAAAAGGGATACGTAACTGTCACAAAAAATCTCGAAAATGATGAACATCTTGATGGAAATAGCATGTATTATATTGAATAATTATGACTGGTAGTTTCCTCTTCTGTTCCGCTATCAATATAGAAACGACCAAATGATAAAATTCAATATAAATTAGCTGAAATTTCTACATATGAATCACATATATTTCTCCTATCAATGACTCTTTCAAATCAATATCAAGGGCAACCATTAACTGTAAGAAATGCACAAGTTTTAACGTATTCTAAGCAAATAAAATTACTTCAGCTGATCAATTTCATTCTATGTCCTCTAAACATGATAATAGCTAATAAATACGGATATATTGCGCCCATGGAGTAAATAGAGGTCCAGTAGCACTTTGAAAATAATAATCATCATCGAGATACTACTAAAATCTCGAAGGTGTGAGCGTATATTGGTTTGGGTCTTGATGTATAGCCAGGCACATCCATACACCACATTCACCCTCAATAATTTACCGTATTTTGTCGTCGATCATCATTTATAGACTGATATCTTTTACTTGCAAATAGGGGTGGGCCATTAACATTAATTTTATATTAATGTTAATGTTTCTCATTAACCATTAATATTAATGCTTAATGTTTTCTGAGAAAAAGTTAATTGATTAATATTAATGATTAATGAAAAACATTAACATTAATTTTAAAATTAATGTTTTCATTAATCATTAATATTAATATCAATGTTCTTGAATGATATTAACGGTTAACGGAAACATTCACCATTAGTATGAATAGTAATGTTTTCGTTAATATTATGGATTATATTTTCATTAATCATTAATATTAATGTTAATGTTTTCATTAAAATCAATGACTTAATATTAATGGTTAATGTTTTCATGAAAGCATTATAACTTTCCATATTAAGTAATTAACACTTTCGGAGAAAACATTAGCTATTAAGATCAGCTAATTGATTAATAATTGTAGATAATGTTTCCTTAGAAAAGCCTAATTCAGTAATATGGAAAAATTAATGTTTTCTTGAAAACATTAACATTAATATTAATGATTAATGAAAACATTAATTTTAAAATTAATGTTAATGTTTTTCATTAATCATTAATATTAATGAATTAAGTTTCTCTTAGAAAACATTAACCATTAAGATTAATGGCTAATGGAAGTCATTAATTAATGTCATTAATTAAGTTCCGTTAAAAAAAATGGTCCACCCCTACTTGCAAATATGAAACATTCCAACATATGATAGAAAAAGTCTTTGCAAGAGAACAGAAAAGAAAAATATGCAAGCTTCGTAATATTTTAGGTCACTGTGCATTGTATAGAATATAATGGTCGTGCAGTCACACTTCACAAGAGACAGAATCGCAAGCAAAAATATAAAAATATTCATAGAAAATAGGAAGTACACAAAAAATATACGTATTAAAGAACACCAAAGAAACGCACAAACGAACGTCTTTTCAAGTTATTTTATTGCACGCTAGTGTAGCCATATTTTCATCTGCAGGCGACGTGCTGAATTCGATGCTCGGATAAAACTCGCCACTAGTTAATATCTATGCAGATACGTGAGCGTCTAGCTCTGCGTGAGCAGACATACCCGACAATATTCAGTAGGTACAAAAGATTTTTTCACTCACGAAGTGCTTCAATTTTTAATATGATCTATTAACAACGACACACAGAAGAAGATGCGCTCATCATCGTAATCAAGACCGCTTCAGCTGTCAATCGACAATTTTTTTCTTGTACATCAGTATTCATGGTTAGAGGATCACAAATAAGTACGTTTTCACAGATAGCATTATTCTGTGACCATTTCACATCGTTATTTTGATTTTTTCAGAACAGTGATTTTAGTAAATTTTTTTCTGTAAATGTATGCATCTTTAGACGACGTTTGTGCGTTATAATCTTCTTGTACTTCCTGACTGTTCTCATCGGTGTCTCGCTGTCTCAGAGGTTTGTATAGCATCCACCTCTTCTCTTCTCTTGAGATGAGCGACTGCAGCCTTTTTGCTCGATAGCAGTCAATCTATTGGTATTGGCGTGATGCTTCACAATATAATTGATCGATACTATATATGTTCTACTTTTGATTTATCATATTGATGTAGCTGATTTGAATTTCAAAATTAAGGACATTTCTGTAGTGTGTCAATGCAATATTGTAATTGCTTTCGAAACATCTGTATGAGTGGTTATATATCATGAGCAGGATAGAGGTGATATTAATCGAATGTATTTTGAAGTATCAACTCAATAGCGAGATATTACCTGCTATAGAGCAAATTCAATATAGCAGTCACTCATTACATAACAAATGAACGAATAAGAAGAGAACTCGAGGATAACAACAAAACTCTGAGACCGTAAGGGTATATAGGTGTGTGAATGTCAATGGATGAAGAGAAGATCCAAACCCTACGAGAGACCAATGCGTGACACCTTCCAGATGCAGTGCAATACCGACTGAGCCCAATTTAGTTCATTTCTGACCTGTGTATTGTCCTTCAACTTAGCTTTTTACACTGCCGTCAGTATGGGTACCGGCCTGGTTCGTGCAGCCTGTCGGCTATCAAGGCTGCATGATTGACATCACGCACACTCAACTATCTACTCTAGTCTGTCTATGTCGTGCTCTTAGACTTTCTTACTCACGTTATTTACAGCGGTTTTCTATTGGCACCCGATACAGGACCTTTAGTTTCTTTAGGCCCTGAGTGCCCTATGTTTCTCAAATTCTTAGATACTGTCTCCACGATCTTCGACGTGTCGTGCGCTATTTTAGCAAACGATGGTCGAAAACGATGTTTGGTCTTCAGAACAATCGGCGATTTGATTCTTTATTTCAGATTGAAAGTGAATCATTTTCTGCTTATATAAATCCAATACGAAATTAAATAGACCATATGATGGCGACAACTCTACCCGACAACGCTACAGTAGGATCAAGTTCATCTACAGATCTTTGCATGGATCAAAATGTTTTTCTTCTCTGGCTGGACTCCAACATCGACGAAACCAATGACGATTGTCGAAATTCAATTCTTCAAATACGATCCATTGTAAGTACTACTTAGAGAAAATATTCGGAAGATAATAAACTCCATGAAAAGGGTATTAGCGATTCTGAAACTTATCAGATGGCTTTTAAAACGGAAAACAAAACCTTGTTGATAACTTGCATAAACTATTTTTTGGTTTTATTACCTTTATCCACCCTTTGATGAGTTCATTAAGATAATAAATCAAAAAAGAATTTGTGAATGTCAGCGATTAGCTGCTTTTCTTGTTGTTGAAAATACTTGACAGGTTTTAGAATTACTCATACCCTTTCCGTGATGTTTATTATTTTTGAATCCTTTCACAGTGTAGTATCAATATATTTATCGATGTCGACGAATGCATAGATTTTCTCACTGAAATCAAGGACAAAAAGGCATTCATGATTGTTACGAATGCATTCAGTGGACAAATTGTCCCACTGATTCATGATACACTAGAACTTTATTCAATATATGTATTATATCGAAATAGCTTCATTTACAAACAATTCACCGAACAGTATCCAAAAGTAAAGGGTATTTTCACACAAATCGTTCCCATTATTGAGCCGATTACAAAGGTTGTACAACAATATGATCAAGATTCTACCTTGATCAGTTTTTTCCCTCCCCGTAACGTATCTAATGGAGAGTCAGATCAAGCCCATCAATCATTTATGTACACACAATTACTCAAAGAAATCCTTCTTGAAATCGAATATAACGAACAATCCCCAAAAGATTTCGCGGCGTATTATCGTAAGCACTACCCAGGCGAGCTAAACACAGTCGACAAATTCGAACGAGATTATTACAATTATCCGCCTATCTACTGGTATACAAAGGATTTTATGATTCATTCAGTTCTTAATCAAGCTTTACGGGCACAAAATACCGAAGTTATTCTAAAAATGGGATATTTTCTTCACGATCTTCATCAAAACATCGAACAACTTCACTCGGATCAAATGGATCAGCATTTAGCAGCATCATCACCATTAATAGTTTACAGAGGCCAAGGTATGATAAATGAGTCATTTAAGAAGATGCGTGAATGTCAAGGAGGTCTCATTTCTTTCAACAATTTTCTATCGACAAGCGTCGATAAAAGCGTTGCTTACATGTTTGCGGAAAGCAATAAAACTGAACCCGACAAAACAGGGATTCTTTTACTTTTATCCACGATGTCACCGCATTTTCGGAGGAACAAGAATGCTTGTTTTCGATGCATGCTGTTTTCCGCATTAATGAATTCGAACAACTTGACGAGAGTGGTCGCTTCTGGCAAGTGAACATGGCATTAACCAGCGACAAAGATCAGTTACTCGAAACTCTCACGTATCGATTGCGCGACGAGATCGGTGGAATAACACATCGACATCAATTGAGTCAATTAATAATTAAACTAGGACATTTTAATATGACCGAACAAATGAATAGGGTACTGCTCGACCAGGCAGTCAACACTGAAGACCAAACATATCTCAATCATCAGCTAGGATATATTAAGGCCTCCCAAGGAGATAATCAGGAAGCAATGTCATTTTTCGAAAAATCATTTGAACTCATAAAGCAATTTTCATCATTAAACGATCATAGATTTTTAGCGGCGTACAGTAATATAGGTTTGATATATGACAAAATGGGTGAGTACTCGAAAGCGCTGTCGATCCACCAAGAAGTATTAGAAATCAAGAGAAAATGTCTACCTTCAAATCCTTCATCCCACCGTCACTTGTACAGTATTATCCGTTCGGTAAATATTGATACAAACGAGTGCTTGAAAGAACTTACATCTTTCGAAAAAGAGCTTGAAATCTGTCAAAACTCTATTCCTCTAAATCACGTAGATTTAGCAGCCTCATACACAAACATTGCCTGGGCCTATGGGAAACTTGGTGATTGGTTGAAAGGGCTTTTATATCACGAAAAATCACTTGACATCTACCTAAACGCGTCCGATACGAACAATCTTGCTTTGGCTGTTTGCTACAGAAACATTGCCTTCGTACATGAAACCATGGGAGATTACTCTAAAGCCAAATCATTCAACGGAAAAGCAATAGAACAATGTGAAAAATATTTTCCCTCAAATCAATCATCGTCAACAACGCATCATACAAACATCGATTCCGTGCATGAAAACATAAAAACATCACTTCAAAACAAGAAAAAATATCTCCACCCAAATCATCCCGATCTCATACGGTGCTACAACTACATTGGCTCAATGTATAGTAATATGGGAGAGTACTCAAAAGCAGTTTCGTACTTCGAAGAAGACCTTGAAGTCTGTAGAAACTCTCTCCCTTCGAATCATCCCGATTTAGCAATTTCCTACAGCAATATCGGTTCTATGTATGCAAAGATGGCTGAGTACACGAAGGCACTTGCCTATTACGGAAAAGGACTCGATATCATCGAAAAATCCTTCCCTACAAATCATCCAGATTGGGCTATGGCCTACAACAACATCGGTTCGGTTAATTTCATCATGGGAGGGTACGTGGAAGCTCTCTCGAATTTTGAAAAAGCGCTCGAAATTCGAAAGAAATTCTTCCCTGCAAATCATCGTAATTTAGCTATTTCCTACAACAACATTGGCTCTGTGTTTAGCAAAATGGGAGAGTACGCGAATGCACTTTTTCATTATGAGCAAGCAATTGAAGTCACTAAAAAAGCCCATCAACCAGACCATAGATCGTTGGCCATATGCGTTCGCAACATTGCTGCATTGTATAATGACATGGGGGAGTATTGGAATGCTCTTCGAAACCGTAAAAAAGCACTCGAAATCTTAGAGAAATTCCTGCCTGCAAATCATCTCGACTTAGCTGTGTCCTATAGTAGTATCGGTTCAGTGTATTTGAAAATGGGAGAATTCACGAATGCATTTTCCTCATGCAAAAAAGCACTTGACATCGGTGAAAAATCATTTCCTCCAAATGACCCAGATTGGGCTACGTGCTACAACAACATGGGCTCTGTATATTTTGACACTGGAGAGTACGTGGAAGCTATTTGAAATTTCGAAAAAGCGCTCGAAATCCGGAAGAAATCCCTCCCTGTAAATCATCCCGATTTAGCTGCTTCCTACCACAGTATTGGTGCGGCGAATATACAAATCGCAAACTATTCGAACGCACTTCCGTTATTCTTAAAAGTACTTGAAATTCGTGAAACAATTTTCCCTTCAAATCATCTGGACTTAGCTTCTGTCCACAACTTAATTGGTTTAGTGTATCATAAAATGGGCGAATACTTCCTAGCACTCATGCCATATGAAGAGCGCTTCAGATGAGGAAAACCTGCCTTCCTCGATATCATTCCGATTTTATGTATTCCCTTACGAACATTGGTCTGCTGCATCAGAGCATGGGGTACGACGAGGAAGCGCTTTCTTCGCTTATAGAAGCACTTGAAATTGCCGAAGAAACTTTCCCTCAAAACCATCCTGAGTTAGCTAAATGCTACAACAATGTTGGCTCTCTTTTCGACAGCATGGGTGAGCACACGGAAGCAATGGGATTTTTTGAAAAAACACTCAAAATTAACAGAAACTGTGATCTTCAAAACCATTCTCATTTTATTATCTCCTACAACAATACCGCAAATCATCATCTCGAAATCGGAGACTATCCCAAAGCAGTGTCAACTTTCGAAAAAGCAATTGAGATCTTGACTAAGAATTTTCCTGTCACTCATCCAGATTTTTCTACTTTGTACAACAACATCGGTTTGACATATTCTAAGATGAGCGAGCACGAGAAAGCTCTTTCCTATCTTCGAAAATCACTTGAAATAGCTGAAAATTCCCTGGGTCTAGATCATCCAACTACGGCCGTGTGCCATCAAAACATAGGCGATGTCTATATCCGTATGAGGCAGTACTCGACTGCACTATTACATTTCGAAAAATCTATTGATATCCAGAAAAAAGCTCTCTATCCAAACCATCCATTCATGGCTAACTCTTACTCTGGCCTTTCTTTTGCATATGAGAACATTGGCGAGCACTCAAAAGCACTATCGATTTCTGAGAAAGCTCTTCGAATCCGAGAAACAAGTCTCCCTCCGAATCATCCCGACCTAGCTCATTCGTACAATCGCCATGCTTACGCATGCTTCAAGATGGACCAGTACTCAGAGGCAATATTTTATCAAGAGAAAGGCCTGGCAATCGTAAATAAAAATCTCGATCGCAATGATTTTGATTTGACTAGTTTATACAAATTCGTTGCTCATCTGTATGAGAAAATTGGAGAGTACACGAAAGCACTATCATTTTATGAGAAACAGCTTGAAATCTGCATAGAAACGCTGCCTGAAAACCATCCAGATTTGACTACTCTCTACAAAAAACTTGCTTCGCTATGTAGCAAGATGGGCGAGTACTCAAATGCAGTATTTTTTCATGAAAATAGCTTTGCAATCTACATAAAAACTCTCAGGCCAACCATGTGTGAATTAGCTACTACCTATAAAAGCATAGGTGAGGTGTATTGCAACATGGGAAAGTACTCGAAAGCAGTTTTCTTTTACGACAAAGCCAATGAAATCTTCGAGGAAACTCTCGCCCGGAAGGATTCGAACTTGACTACTTCTTACAGTAACATCGACTGGATGTATGACAACATGGATGAGTATTGGAAAGCCTTTCAATCGCACGAATATGGGCTAGGTATCTACCAAAAAACTCTTCCTTTAAGCCATTCCTATTTGGTTTCTTCCGACAACAACGTCGCTGCAGTGTGTCCTAACATGGGCGAGTACTCAAAAGTCCTTTATTATTTGGAGAAGATACTTGGTATTCTAAAGGTATCAATGCCACCGACACATCCACACAATAAAATCTGCAAAGCTTTGATTGAAGAAGTGAAAAAGGACTTGAAATATGTCACCTTTTTTCACTCAGTGTGTGATGATGATTGAATATACTCGAGTAACTGTGGGTGTTGGAGAGAAAACCACTTGAATCCATCCTCATTCTAAACAATAATAATAATTAATTGTACAAGAGTATTGCTTGATGCTGGGTGTGGGTGTGGATGCTGGTGGGTTGATGAAAACCAGACCACAACTCACACCCACACTCATGTCCTAAAGATTTTTTGTCAAAATGATATGGCTTATGAAAAGCTCCATTTATAGTATAAGTCTAAACCAGCATCTCCTGAGTAAAAATGATGACAATGAGTTAAGATTAGCTAGGCATTACTTCATATGATTGAATATTTTCAGTCAGTATCGTCGTTGAAATGATTAATGCTTTCTAGAGAAAAGCGATCTGTTTGATAGCTAATGTTCCATTGTCCTTTAATCTTGAATCCGCCCAAGTTATCGTAATCAATATTTCCTTCGTATTCAACAGCATGTTTTCCAACATATTGCTTTACAAAGCACACTTTTCCTTCATTATCGTACGTTCCAGCCATTGTAAAAGGTCCAATAACATCATTTCCTTGCCCTGAAACTCGTCCTTCTCTTAAGCTAAAGAAATCAAAGGCCATATCATAAGCTTGATCATACTGATAGTATTTTCCTCTCACAGCACCGCCTTCAAACCGTGTAATGACTTGAGGCCGATGAAAGTCTTTATCTTGGCTTTCTCCGAGAGCTCTATTAATATGTTGCACTAGAATATTGAAGTTTGAATCCAATTGACTTTCATCTTGCATATTGACTTTGTCTAAGGAAGTTATTATTATTCCTAACCATGTATTCTGAAGATTCTTTTCATTCTCAAGAAGAACAGGAACAATATTCTTCTTCAGCTGATGAGCATATGTAAATTCTTTCTGACAATTAATACTGTTACTATAGGCGACAGTACTGAAACTAATAATAGCTGCAGCACCTTCAACGCCATTAGCCATAGCAGAATTGATATTTCCTTTCATGTCACCAGCAATATCAAACCAAATGGGAATATTCATTTGTTTGAGCATATTTGCTACTCGCTTAACCAGCTCTTGGCTATCCCACTGATAACTCAACATAATATGAAGACCTTTAGGCCTTGATGATTGATTACAAGAGACTTCTAGATGGAAGCTGTCCGATACGGCACCTATAAGCCATTTCCCATCAAAAAACAATTGCGTTCCATGTTTAGCTGTAGTTCCAGAATACTGAACATCATGTTTTCCGATATAATGCTTTTTAAACTGAAATTCCAAGTCTTTTTTATCTGGTAAATAATTATATTTGCCATTAATTATGAAGCCGCCAACTTCATCATGTCCTTCACCCGCAATACTACCATTTATCAAAGCAAACATATTAAATGTCATATCAAACTTTTGCCCCCACTGAATATAATAACCTTGTGGAAGAGTTTCATCAACAAGAGTATCGACTGATTGTTCCTCGTCTACAGAATTGCTAATATATGGTTGTAATTGTTTTGCAAGATCAATAAGTCTTTTTTCAAAGTCATTAGTATTCGTTATCCGTATCCACAACGCACCAGCGCAAATAACACCAAGCCAACCACTTTGAGTGTAATGATCTTGCGTCTTAACAGGAACTATTGGAATACCAGCTTCATCGACATACGACAGAACATACTTTGTAGTATTAGATGCTTCATATGCAACACTCATTAATGGAACGACTACTCTTGCTTCTTGAGCTGCTATTTTTATCATATCATGCACTCGCATTGGTGGGCAAACAGCTGGAATGCCGTTAGCAATCAATCCTGCAGTGATCTTTTGAGCTAAATCATATTGACATGGGCAATAGGAAATCATAACTTTACCGCCTTGTCTTCGTGAAACTTTGGGCAATGGTGTCTTCTCCCTTTCTGCTGTGTACGGCCGTGGAAGAGTCAAACGCATGCAAAATCTGTCACGCGTCTCTCCTATTTCCCAATGACCTTCTATCACACAAGTTATTGCTTTGAAAGAAATCTTTCCGTTATATCTAACCGAATGATGCCCAACATATTGCTTATGCATCTCGATATCACCACAACCATCTTCAAGTTTGTATTGACCAGCAAGAGTAAAAGCTCCAACGTCATCATCTCCTTCACCAAATACTTTACCACTTTTCAGACCCAAAAACTAATGAAAATATATAATTTCGATATTAATATATATGTTTCGATTCAATTTATTAAATACCTTAAATTCCATCGGAAACTCTTGACCAGAATAATTATAATTGGCGCTCAAATCCCCTGATTTAGTTCCACCATAAAATAGATATTCTTCTATTGACTGTGGCTCATTTTTTTCATCTCTTGCAAGAACAAGATAATTCTTTTTGATTCCCAATGAAATCAAGGATTGAATAACTTCATCAAAATTTGCTGAGCAACTCTTTGTAGGCGCTAAAATAGCACCTAACCAACCTTTAGGTTGAAAGTCTTCATAAATATTAATAGATAGAAGCGGAGTTTTAGTTTGATCAGCATAATTCAATAATTTTGATCCAGTTTTTGACATTTGCAGAGAGGAAGATGGAAAAACTAGAATCACAGCAGCATTTTCAATACCATTTGCAATTTTCATATTGATGTCTTCATTTTTTCTAGATTGGTAAACTCTAAATCGTCGCTGAATGAAATCATTCTTCAGTGTTTCAGCCACTAGTATATCAGATTCATTTTCTTCTGCATATGCAAAGAATATATGTTTCTTCTCATGGTATGATGGCGTTGCAGTTTCTGGAGTTTTGGGAAGAACTAAAAGGAAAGACAGATTTTTTCAGTCATACGTCTCTTGTGAACATTTTACGAAAAGCAGAAAAATGTTTGAATAGAGCTTTACTTTTTGTCGCCGTTTAGTATGAATGTTAACATTAGTATCGTATTTCATTTGATCACATTCACATTCTCCCGTCCTTAGTTATACGTTGGAGTTTCTGCCACTATAACTCCGTTGAGTAAGGTACACATGATGTGCTTTGTATCGGTAGATTCGTCGTTATCTTAATCAATGTGAATCACTTCGGAATTTCATGACTTGTCAGACAATCAAAAGGGGACATACAGTTTTGAATATCTATGATGTTCATCGTATATTCTTCAGTTTTTCGTAAAGGTATATAATTTCTAGCGTCTCATTCGATTTTAAGAATAGTCATACGTATATACCTGGTATACCACAATTTTTGTGGCATCTTTTATTTTGTTTATCGGTCGACTTGAGAAAATGATAAAATCTTGATTTTTCTTTTAAAAAATGCATCATGAAACACAGGCTATCAAAATCTATAATTACGTTTCTCAAAATGTTCATTTATGATTGTTAGGGTTATGTCGCAAGTTGGCATCGTCCCTCTTCCATGTAATCCTCTATCTTCTTTCATCTCTATTGGTACTCTCTTTTCTTTCGTTTCGTATACATATATATATATATATATATATATGTGATGTTTTGTTTAATCATGCATATATAGAATGAAGTTTGTGCGTATAGATACATTCAGCACAAATACCTATATCAATATCGATAAGAGAAAGGAAAGGAAAGGAAAGGAAAGATGCAGCAAAATCACCGTATCTGGCCGGAAAGCAGGTAAAAGCGCTGGAAAGTGGGAGCAGTATTTCGGTTGGAAGTTACCGGATTTTCTTCCTGTGACTCCGGTCAGTTTCCTGTGCTTTCCGGCTGGAATTTGACCGAAATCCACAGGAAAAATCCGGTACCTTCCGGCCGTTTCCCACCATATCTCTACGACCTGGATATATCTAATTTATACACATACCTATCTATACCCCGTATACAGCTTGAGTTTTTTCCAGTTTCTGTGGAAACTTATAGAAGACATTCTCTGTGACCATCGTTCATACTTTAATGGGTTGCGATGGAGCACATAAATTTCAGACATTTTCTGTATGCGTCGCACAACATGCTCAGTGAGAGTGCCGGGTACAATGCGAAAAGCTTTTTCGTTTTTAAAACCAGCAATATATGTGAGACATTCGTTCGAATGACTGAATTTCTCGATAGTATGCATAGTTTGTCAACGTTTCGCTATCGAATTGAGAAATTATTCATTTGATTCGTCAATTTTATCATCGAGTCAAAGTAGAAGATAATTTTCTGCAAGATCTTTTGCTTATACACTTCGTTCATTTTTGTTTAACGATGACGAAATGTCAGTAAACTTACTTCGATTTCAATAGAATAATTAAAAATTGTTCCTATATGTTGTAACTGACTTCAACACTTGTAATGCTCACAAGTATCCATATGGGATTGTGACTTTCACAACACATGTTGCCAAGACTGAAGATATTAAAGTTGCCCCCCTGAAAAACATTAGGCAGTTGAAAGATAACTTTTATCTACACGATAATTCTGAGGAGATGTTATGGTTTTACCAGATTGGACATTTATGAAACTGTAAGATGAGAGTTTATGCGATAAAATAAATCTTTAAAATACGATGAATTATCGTAAGTACTGATGAAATTAACTTTGTAAACATGTCATAACTCTATTCTAGAGTCATTGCCTATCATTCTTTATTAGTCTTTTTATTTGGAAGAAAAAAGCCTCACGCATATTACTAATTTCAGCAATCTTTCATCTTGCACTTTGAGATATCGCATCAATAGCTAATTCAAAAAGTAATATTTTTTATACTAAAATAAAACATCGGCATCATATGCCAAATGAAATCTATGAGTCGGCGTTTGCTCCATAGAAAAACGTGATCTTTCACAGTATTTATATAAAAGTATGAAGTATTTTTTTACTTTCATTTAGATTCAACATAAAATAACTTAACAAACAGTACGAAAAAAAAATGATACTTTAAACATCGATAGACCCTAACAAGATGTTTAGCCTCTCTTCTTATGACAAGTAAAATGCATTTGAATGCGTTAACATAAAAGTTAGACGTTAGCGGACTATGTAGGAATTGAAAATATTCGTGGAAGGATGATATTAACAAATACTGTTGGCAATTTTCCTTGATTCTACTGCAGTAGCTATTAAATCAATAGCAAAATTTTACGCTGTAAGTACAACTATATTTATCGCTATACTTCAGGCAAATAAATTACGAGCAATGTTGTCAAATGCACAAGGTATCCGTGGTGGCTACATCATATATGAATATAGTTTTAGTAGAAATTACTATACCTGTGGATTCTTTGCAGCCCATTCTGGTGAACTATAAATTTCAAGTTTATCGTGTATCTCGAGAATTTAACTCTGAATTAATGAAACAATGCTACTCAACAAAAATGTTCTTCCACTTAAACAAACAAGCAGCTTGACGACAATGTTTTCTGCTATTTCTTGATGCAAATGTTTTTTTGTTGACACTCAAGATTGAATATTGTCGTTAACGTTAAAGGAAAGGCAAAAAGATGGCAGAGAATGGTTATTAGAGTTGTTGTTGGCGTTCTCTTGCTTAGATTCCAGCGGGACATTGTGTGTCATGAAACATGTTTCGGATGCAATACCAAGTTTCTTATAAAGAAAGAAAAAGCTGCGTTTCTTTTGTTTTACTATATTATAAAAAATTGACTGAACAAACTATATCGTGAGTCTTTTCGTAATGCTTTTTGAATCGACTTAATACAAAAATCCTATGTATTTTGTCTTAATGCAACTAAAGCAAATGAAGTATGCTTCTATGTAGAAAAATTGAAGTTTGCATTGACAGAGAGTCTGATGTGATTGTGCAAAGCAAAACATCATTCATTCATTTATGTAAAAACGGAGCATATTATTGATGATGCGTATCCGCTGTAGATTCATATCCAACTGCGGTATGCGAGTTATGTTTTCATGAACTAATTCGTCCAAGAAAGTTTCGACGTACGAAACAAAATCAGCTGATCTAAACGGCTGTGATTTTATCATGTCTCCAGTTACTACTGCTCTACCTATTATGTTGCTCATCGCTCCCAAGAAAAACATCTCAAGGATATTCAGCAAAATTTTACTTTTATGAAGCTTCGGTGATTATCAAGCGATGTAATTTCTTTGGACTAAATTAAAATGATTCACATATATTATCATGTGTGTAGATATAGTATGTGATTGAAACCATACTTATTTTGCTGTTCTTTCTCGCTTATTACTTAATCGATTAAACGACCAAGGGAAAAATTAATGGTACATCTGTTTTTGATCTAACATATAGAGTTTATGGTTAGAAGAAATTTTCCTCTTGCATATACGGTATGTATATAAATAGAAAAAGTATAGGTATTTATAATACAAATAAAAATTCGATATGAACATACAAATTGTTGATATATTCTCTGAGTCTTTTTAATACATGCTTGAATAACATTTAATGATAAATCATTCAAGGCTTCGACAACAGCATTCTCTAGTTCATCTTGTGATTTTGGATTCTTCTTTTTAATTTTTTGTTTGATAATGTTCCAGATTAGTTCAATAGCATTAAAATCAGGATTATAACCTGGCCATTCCCATAATTCAATATTATATTGATGACGCCATCGCTTGAATTAAGTACTTCTGTGCTATTTAACTCCATCAGGAATACACCAATAATTTGTATGTTCATTTTGAATTTTTATTTGTATTAAAAATACCCATACATTTACTATTCACAAATATCTAAGAAGAAAATTTCTTCTAGCCATAATCTCTATATTTTAGATCAAAAGCAGATGTATCATTAATTTTTTCGTTGGTAGAAAGGTGTATGATTTGAATCTCATTATTTCTCTAATCGTTTTTACATGAGATTAGATGGAGGGTTGAGACAGAGGACACTATGGTGAACTAGAACTAATCCTGTAATACAAATAAGACTGCAGACTTTTTCCAACAAATTGTCATGTTTTTCTTTTTGGAAAATATTCATTGATAGACGAAATTCAATTTGAATGCATTGTTACACTCTTCTCCACCCAAGTGAATCGGTACGGCTATCCGTATTATTACCGTAACTTCGCCGAATGCGGTTGTTTACGGTTCGAAATAGCAGGTAAACGCACCGTATCGTTCGAGCTGGGCAGTCAAACAAAAAAAAACTGGCGTCGAAATTGGAACGAAAAGGTTTTCATTAAAAACATACGCTTTTCAAGATTACATGGTGATTCGAGACGATTAGCGACCTTTTTTTCTTATGAGACTTTTACATCAATAATATCTCTAGGGAAAATAATCAGTGATTCTGTTTATTTTGATTGCTTGTAGAAGTTTTTATTTATTTCCATCGTGTTACTATTTTATAACAATGACTTATTATTATTGAATTTTGGCGTAGAGAAATCTGTGTCAAAATAAAAATGTGTTAATGTCTACAATTCAATCCAAACTCTGATAGACAAAATTGTTTTTAATGCCATTGTTATAAGATGATAATATCATTGGGATAACTAAAATATGACTGTTCACTATCGGGATGCCCTCCATTCAAACATCAAACACTCATTAATATATCAACATAAATATGCGTTATAACTCTTTGAGGACAGAAACCATATATATGCGGCTTGGTTATGAATAAATCTGTAACTAAGTTAGGCATATCTCTTTGACTACGGCAGTGGCCTAAGAGCTTGTGAAGAACCTATATCTGTCAATTCCGACGTGTTATCACGCTGCCATTTAGGCATATGTGCTTTACATTGATTGAAATAAATATTTAGTTTCAACGTTTTGAAAAACTTCATTTTGTGGTACTTCCATATATTTTTCGAAGAAAACAGTGAGCGTAAGTTTAGAACTGAGACTTTTGCGGCTCCCTGCCCGCTCCCCATTACAAACACTAGCAAATAGTGTGGAGTGTGAGTGTGATTAAGAAATATCGCCAAACCAAGACAATAGTTGTTTCTGCCGATGGCGGGACTTCATCAGGTGGTAGCATCCCATGTGTTCCTAATACCAGATCATTTTTAGCGATAAACTGGTGAATTCTGTCACTTGGGAGCAGATAGCCGGACCGATAAAACCGCGGTAAACCGACGGTTTTCTTCCGGTTTTCATGATATGGGTTTTTATATGAGTGTCAAAGACGTTCATCCTTGTTTAGAAATTATTTATTATGAAAAGAAATAGATGCATTACAGTAGAGCAAAGATATAACATGAAAATTTCAACATCAATATTCTTTTACATGTCATTTTAAATATTTGTTGTATTGTGCTTCATCAAATAAGATGCCTTCTAATCTTCATCAGCGTAATAATTTGTGTATTTATAATCATGACATTTTTTCATATGAGCTTGATGATGATATGATTTTGCAGCAGACTTTTCGCTCACTTTTTGTTCTATCAATCGTTTCTGCATATTTTGTGCCATTCGAAGTAACATTGCAATCATACATCTCTCATCATCTAAAGCTTGTACTTCTTGAAGAAGATTAATTTGTTCGCCGATTAGTGCAATAGCTTCATCTCTTCTACGATCATTGATTAACTCAACAATTCTATCATCCATTTCGGCTGCAACTTGAATAGCATGTAAGACTTTTACTTTTGGATCAATATCTCGAATAAGCGATTCATCATTAACGAAAATAAGTGGTAGTTTACTACTAACTGTTATTGGTTCGCCTTCAAGATCATCAGGACGATTGTATTTCAATTCATATTCGAGCACATCGAGTTCTGTGCCATCAGGTACATTTGCAGAAGCTGTAAAATCGCAAAGAATAACACGAAGATTATCTACATGAAGATCGCCAAGATTTGCACCAAGAGCCGCATTTTGATGACCCCAGATTTTTGTTACAGTTGCATTGTTGAGACCACGAATAGCTAGTTGAGTGTGCGTTCCACAAACATCAAAAACACTTTGAATTGCATTGGTCATCAATGTAACGATAACTTCAGCTGATTCAAGAAAAAAGAACTGACCATGCCCGGCTTCAGAAATACCTTTCATGATTTTCTCATCAAAATCTTCGCCAACTCCAAATGAATCAATTATAATACCTTTTTCATTATATGTTGAGACTAATTTCATTATTTCTTGTTGTGTTGTTAATCCAACATTAGCCAATCCATCAGATAAGATGAACATACGTTTTGAATATCCAGGATGTTCATATCTTGCAAGAAGATCGACACCTGATTCAATACCACCGGATAAGTTAGTACTGCCACCAGAACGGATTCTTTCCACAGTCGAATAAAGGCTTTCTCTAGCTGATGCTCGAGCATCTTCAAAAATGTTCTGTACAGCATCATCGTAAGTGACAAGATGTACAACATCATCATCATGGAGTAAATGAAGTACAGACATAACAGCTTTCTTTGCAAATTCTAATTTATTGCGTGAATCCATTGAACCACTGCGATCAAGTACTAAGACAAGATTAACTGGATTTCGTCTTGTTGATTCAACATTTTTTTCATTTTTCTTTGTCTCAATTTCAAATCGAGCTCTCTTATTATTCCGTACACCAATAAGTGCATAACGATTATCAGGAATACAACGAACGGTCACCGAAACCGATGTATCGGTACTCATTTTTTATCTGAAATTTATTTATTTAATCTAAAACAATAGAAAAAGTTGCTTTAAACAACTTAAATTTAGAATTACAAAAATAAAAACATTTCTATCCTTAAAATTTTGCTCTCCTACAAACGATATTCCTTTGAAATTTTCGATGTATACCATTTGAAGACGAATAATAAGGTTCTCTTTTCTTAAAATATTAATACAATGAAATTTCCGGAGATGGAAGAGTTACCATGGAGTATGTTGTGTAATTTTGTTTAGACTTCTCATCAGATTAGCTATCATTCAAAATTCTACTTCTAAAGACGAGGATAATTTCCAGAAATATCGATCATCATAACAGCGTGAAGTTTCTTCGAAAAAAAAAACTAAATCATATGTTTTGCATATGCAATGAAGAAACTGCAACAGAAAGACATGTTTTGATGGAACCAATAATACACTCTAAAAATATCGTCTTTTAACCGAACCCCCAAAAAAAGGTTCCGGAGATTTCTAAAAGCGTCCAAAGGTGTCCAAAGTCTCAAAAACAGGATAAAAAAATCTACGAAACCTTTAAATCTTCTTACTGTGTATCCATGATAAGAACCTTTAGAGTTTCGTATTAAACTACGAAATCAGGAGTGTTTAGTACGAAACTATTAGGTTTTAATACGAAACTCTAAAGGTTTCGTATTTTCCTGCGAAACCTTTTTCTGCTGTACGGAACTTAATAAAAGGTTTCGCAGTCAAAGGTTCTTATCTTGGATACACGGTAAGAACATTTAAAGGTTTCGTAGATTTTTTTATCCTGCTTTTGAGACTTTGGACACATTTAGACGCTTTTAGAAATTTCCGGAACCTTTTTTTGGGGTTCGGTAAAAAAACGATTTTTTTTAGAGTGTAGGGTTCTAATGCTTTAAAAAATATCAACGTAGACTAGAATTGGGTCCTCAGGTTGTAATCCATTACATTTTTCTGTGATAAAAAAGTCAGTTTTCTTTTTCTTTATTTTATCTTATTATACTGGTGAATGTGGGGTATTCTATTTTTATCATCATTTTTGTTGACTTTTCACCTATCATGTTATCTATTATCAGCACTTTCATCACATCTACTTGTATACATCAATCATAACTTCATGATAAGCGACACTCCGGTTAGGCACTCATCTTTTTTTGATGCTCTTATTTAGCTAATCGACGAGTTGATATTCTTAACGTTTTAAAATATGGGTTTCATAGAGTTTAATGGCGAAAAGGAGTCTTATGAGGTTATATCAATTATTTTGTCGAATAATCTATCTTAGAACATCAGCTTAATTTGATGAAAGAGGACCAATTCAATTCTTACGAAAAAATCCCTAAATAGTCTGTAACGAATACTTGATCTATATAATTTGTAAAATTGTACTTCATGTCTTGAATACATAAAGAAAAGAATTAAAATAGACTTACACAAAATTCGACAATTTATAGAAGAAAGCAGAAATAGTTGATAAAGATTCAAAATAAAAATTCTACTCACTTGTATTGTGATATATTTCTAAGTGCTATATAAGGAAAGTGAATACTTAACTCTCCATTTTTTCCCATTGATAAGACTCATTCGAATTGAGAAATCATGTGGCAAACATGACAGTATACAAATAAGAACAAAAAGGAGTTTTCCTTTATCAACAGTCTACAGGTCAGCAAAAGAAAAATATTGCTGCAATAAAGGCAGTTATTATTTACTACGACATGAGGGAAAAAACTTGTTGATCGTAAATTTTCAATGGTAGATATGAAGAAGCGTTTTGAGATTATAAAATTGCATTATTTTATTCTGATTGATGGGGTTTCTTCTGTGAGTAAAAGATTGAATGTGAATGAAAATAAATTCAAGTGATTGATTCCTCGATTAATAGATTTCCTCTTCCATTCGGATTAGTCTTGCAAAAGTAAATCAATAGAGAGGAATACGAAAGAAGTCTAGATTGGCAAGATACAAGTTTTTAATTGTTCTAAGAACAATATAAATAAAATCGAGATGCATATCACCATCCGTGTGGCCAATAATGGGAAAATGATTCATTATTTTTCTTATTTTCAATACATTATAATGGATTATTAGAAAAAAATCTTTAAAATTTTCAAAATTCAATAAATTATCATTACTTTTGAAAGCATCAGAAAAGGCACTGAATCAGTTGGTAAGTTCTAATTTTCGGAGAAGATGACGTCCATGAATTAGTGATGAAATAATCTAAAATAGGAACTGGCATAGTCTCAATGTCTAGCAACTAAGTATGCATATTTATTTACGATTATATGGCGACTGTATTCAACAAATAAGCCGTTCTTCTGACGTTGAGAATTTTCCTTCAATCATAATAAAAACCACTCTATCATAAAAGGTATATTTAACGATAAAACGTGATATCATGCTTTCAGTCAACTTTATTCACTCTCACCATTCCTTTTATAGTTTCGTTCATTGCGGCCAGAATGAAACAAGTGAAGAGAAAGAGAGCAGGGAGAGAACATAAGCGAGAAACAGAATTCTGCATGAACTCAATTAATTACATACAATGGGCTATTTTATTTCAGTTTGAAATTAGAAGAAAAAAAACGCACTTGAATTCAAACCGAAAGAGGTGACTGAGTGTGGGTGCATTGATTCTCTTTCCTACACCCCACACTAGAAAACAATTAATCCTTCAGCTGTGTACTAGTATCATCTACTTGAAAATGTGGATCCGTGATTCGTAGTTCCAATTACGTTTACATCTTTTCCTTACGTATCACACACACACCAGTGCCTATTTTTGATTCGTACCTACTAACAGTCGTGTTCCACACTGGAGTTGATTACCGCCCCAGTCTCGATATTGCCGTTTTTTCTTTCAGCAAAACCTTCAGCATTTTAGCTGTTCATTTGCTTAATAATTCTCAAACCCTCATAAATTCGGTCATTCTCACCAAGAATTTTTCGATCAGTCCACTAAGTGAAGCAAGTTGCCCTGCCCTGAATCTTGGCAATCTAGGAGTACTCTGTTTAAGCAGATATTAATTTTTGATGTGTTCGAATATCTTCATCTTGCTATTTGAACGTTGGAATGAACTTTTTCGACATTTGTTTATTTCACTATTTTTCTTTCCCACAATGTAATGCCATTTCAATGAGAAATAAGCAGTCTAACATTTATTGACACTCATGGACGATAGAACAATGTCCAGAAAAGAAAAAAGAATGCACGGGCGATGCGCAAATAGGTCAATGAAGAAACATATATTATATATAGACACATGTGTCGAGGTAATTTCATCAATATTTTTATACAATGGCAAAGTCAAGTGAAGTGACTATGCGAATATTAAATGAATATCGACCTTTTTGTTTGCGTGTCGCTGTTGCATCTTTTTTTGTCATCGTCACATGGATATGGAAAAACAATGAGTCAACGTAAGTTTCATCATGTTTATTCCTTCCCCATTTTCCCTAAAATGAGAAATGTTACAATAGATTATATTATCATAACTTTATCTATTCGTTCTATCGAGACAGACGGTCAACTTTTGTTCCAAACTTTCTTCAGTTAACATATCGTGACTAAATAAATTTCATCTGATCATAGGAACAAGAAAGTAGTTCGTTTCAACTAATTTACAAGATTAAATTAGTACTCGCTGATAGTTAGTGACTGCTACGAACTGTCTTAAATTTCAATACGTTAATTTTACCTCTATATTTATTATTTTTGCCTTTATCGTTCATATGTCGATAGTTCATGGAATTTTAAGATAAAAAAAAGTCGAAGTTAGATAAATCTATTTTTTTCTCCGGCATCGAAGCTTGTCAACTGAAATCGATTGACTGACATTGGACGAAGAAACTACTCATCCGAGAAGTTTTTACTTAAGACATCCGTGCCAGTCGTTTTAGATTAGCATGGGAGGTTGAATTTTATAAAAAAAGATGTAATATTTTTAATACGTCATATTTCAAGTAAAATAATGCTATCAACAAAAGTTACAATAAAAAAAACTAGATTCAACTTCAGTTAATAAACATTGAAAGAAAAGGCTAAATAGAAGATGATCTGTATAAAATAACATCTAACATAAGACGTCGGTATATTGACACGTTCTTTATCTTATATACAAAAAGAGATTAAAACTTTGATAATTGCAGGGCTTATGAGAGTGATGAAACTTGCATATAATTGAGATATCTAACGGAATAAGATACAGTATTTCAGACGACGTGAAATAAAAAGAACGGTGTATTATGTCAAAACATAGTTGGAGAAGATAAAATATAGTTGTCAAATATGTCACTGATCTGATATGATATAGCTAGTTTAGTACAGCAATTAAATACATTTTCACCTATGAACTATTACGAAGAAATATTATATAAATGACGTTAAATGAAATACTTCCGCCTTTTCTTTTATGATGAAATCGAAGTTCAACATCTAATTTTATATTCATTTTAGATTCTCTCGGTGTTGCAATGAATTAGCATCGATCCTTTTGATATTTGTTTATATATCTATATTTTATAACCTTGATTATGATATGTGTCATTCAGTGTTTCATATATTATTCTTCTGCGCTTGTCTTTGGCATGGCTTATTGTCTCTTTTGAACAAAGATAGTATTGCTGTCTGTCCTGAAGTTATGAATGGAGAAAGTCGTTTCGAATCGTTATGGTGTTTCGATGCATACTGGTGGGTACTGACACGTGATTCCCCAATGATTGTAATTAGTGTTGGTGCTTCAATTGTGGCCAAATATTTACAACTTTTCAATGATTCGCTTGGGTACTCCACAGCTTCAATTTATAGTGATGATTCGCTCCTAGATTTTATCCCACGAAGATACAGATCGATGCGAAGATGGCGACAAAGAAGAAGTTTTAAATTTCGCTGCATCCTACGCCGGGTGATCATCACTAGAAGAATTACCAATCATTATCGATGTCAACAGCGTCAACATTGGCGGCATGTCAGAAGATTATAAGAATTTGTTTATCGTTATATTAAAATGAATAAATATAAAAACTAATTATTAAATCGGATATAATTTTGATAAATGAAGTCTAAAATTTTTCAGGGCGATTCATGAGTGTCCATCAAATTTCAGCTTTGGGTGTGGAGCCTCTTTATCTTCGTCCACACACTAGTTCGTGACAAAACCAAGCCCTTTCTCTTGTAGAAATCCAACTACACAGTCTCCAATAGGGCCAGGAAAATTGGAAGCCTATTAAATAATAATATCAATAGTTGAAACAAGATTTTCAATAGAATTTAGAATAAAAACCAGAAATAATTAATCAAACTAAAACGTCTCAGCAAAATTAATTTCATATGTAATCTTCGTATATGTACTTAGAAGTTTTCCAAAATGGATCTTTCTTTTATAGAAAGTGCAATTGTTTTCAAATCTAATAGCAAGATGAACATATATGACGATCTTGACTTTCAAAATTGGGCATTTTTGTCAGACAAACATCGGTTTTCGTTCATAAAAATTACAGTGTATTTCAGATTGTACTTTTTTCTATCTGAAAAAAAAATATTTGGATTTATGAAAATGTTCTGTATTTGACGATTCTTTTTTTTAAGCTCTAACAGAGAAATGCAACAAACAATAATCGCTCGGAAATTTTATATTCTTCCAGTGAAATTGTTATTTGATTTCACTAGTAAAAATTCTATCCAGATATAGTTAACTATTATCTACTGAATAAGTGAAATGTACTTATCGAGGGGTGAGCAGTAGGACCCCGTACCTGGTTATGTAGTAGTTGTTGCAGAGACAAAATCAAAAATAAGGTCACTAGCGTTCAATTTTGCTGTGCGACTTTATTGAACGATTGAAATAGTTTCATTTTGATGCAGATATAGTTAAAGGTCGTTCTCTCTTTTGAAATTCTATTCACAACAGCAATATATGTATTCTTGACGACTATTTATAGAAGTCACATGTACTAAAGAAAAGTCACGACTTTAGTTGAGATGAAACGATTCATGATCATTTATTTTGTCATTTCCTTCACGATCAGAAAACCTTAAGTAAGAACAGAATTGCTTCTTACGTAAACATTTCATGACGTATTTGTTTAAAATTTTCCTGAAATCAATCAGTTACGCACTGGAACTTTTAAAAGATATCGAGAGAAAAATCATGTCAGCCAACTTTTCATTTTTGTTTTAAACTTCATTAGATTTCTAGTAGTGTTGAAGCGATGGATACACGAAAACAGTATGTATTTCACACTTTTTGATATGCTTTACCTTTGAAACGATGAAATTCTCCTGAAGAAAAAGATGTAATTAGCTTTCATAATAGAATATTTTTGTCATTAGCTCAGAATATCAGTTTCGTAAAAAAAATATTAATTATAGATTTTTCTTTTTTTGTCGAGTCCATTATCAAAGAAGATCAGTAATCAAATAGTCGTTATGAGACAATACGAGTAAAGTTAAACATAAAGTAATATAGAATGTAGAAACTATGCGTATAGATGATTTTCCACAAGCAAGTTCTTCATAAAAATCGATTTTTCTTCTAGTGATAAATCATTAAAAAGAAGCAGTCGATATAGATAATGAGATAATTGGAAATGTTTGCTTTTATTTATAAAGAAATTTAAGTCTAAAAGAACAAAATTCAGGAGAATCACCATCTCTCTAAATTAGATATTTGAAATCTGATTTGTAAAAGTATTGAATCAATAAATGCCCTGACTACGTGTGAAGTGCCTATTTTCACTAAAGATCAATATCTTGTAGTGTTTTTGCTTCACATAATAAAGTAGTATTTTTCTAGCTGTTTCTATATATTATTGAGTGATTGAACTCGTGATTACAAAACCACTTTTATTATGGAGATTGGTAATGACTTCTTCTTCTTATGGAAATTCTATAGAAAACAATGGGAAAAACCATCGATAAACAGCAAAGCTGATTTTGATGTTCTTGACAAAGTCGTGTTTCAGCAGGAAAATATGGTTTTCCACGATGCATATCTTTTTCAAATGAGATTTAAAACTGTGAGTTTAATTTGATGGGTGGTATTGTCATTTTGACACGTGTTTTAAGTATATTCAAATCAATTTGAATTTGATCAAGTTTTTCACTTAAGTGTTTGATATCCTGTTCGAAATAGTTATTTTCAAATTTACATTTTCGTAATTCCATTGAAATTTGGTCTAAATCAGCTTTGATAGTTGAAGTTCTTAGTGTCATCAATTCCTTGATACGATTTCGTACACGTTCGGCTGTTTGTGTGACACTCTTCAATGCTTGCTCCTCCCATTGGTTTATATCATGAAGAAGAGTCTTTAGTTGGGCTTGCTTGATCTTCGATGAATGATCAACTAACTGATGAGGTAGAATACTTCTATCATGCAATAATTGTGCGAATTTAGTATCTAAATAGTGACGATGTTCACGAAAATGTGTTGAACAAAAACCATTCGCACATCCATCACATTGAGCGATACCCGGTTTTTTACAGCACGAACATTTTGCTGAGAATACTTCAGCCGTGTAAAGCTTAACAATCTATGCACTTTCTTACAAAACAACAAGACAAGAAGACAAAATGAAAATTTAACGACACGAAAGAGAAGGCATTTTTTGACAGGTAGGAATCATATGATGTTGTATTAAAAGCGAAGTCTCATAAAGAATAGTTTTCTTTTAGTCCGTTGACATGCTTCCTTTTTTTGTTCACAAACAACAGGCAGCTATTAAGAAAAAAAACTACATGCCGTCTCTTCTAGTATGCACAACAAAATAAAATTAAAGGCAGCATACAGTTAATTGCACTTGCACACTTTCTAAACGACAAGCAAAATATTTTATTGACGATTCAACTTTCTACATTGGGTATAAATTGCATCATCATATCGAAGTTTTGAAGATACATCAATCATATATATGTTCTGAAATACTGATTTTATTATGCTCTATGCTTTTATTTAGGGACATAAGCTTCCCGACACTTCATTCGTTACAAATTTTTATTTACTTTTGAGCTCTATGAAGAATATAGAGTCAGAAAAAGATTGTAATACAGCTGAATTTACGTGCCATATTCTATTCATTTGAATTATACTCGAAAAGAACATTTTTGGATCACCATCATTTTTTTCTTCAATAAATAAGCGAAATCAATTCTCTACTAAAATATAGAATGACTAGACCATTTTCAAAAAACTTAATACGATCGAGTTTCAAGTAAAAGCTGATTTTCTTTCTTGTTTTAGATATTCATACTTTAAACTTATTATGAACAAATTTGTAAATTTTTATCATTTAGATAGGTGAATATATTATTAGTCAGCTTGCGACTCTAGGAAAGACTGTTTAAAAAAGTAACCGCTTGTTGTACCAGGCGATTCGTGTCTTCTTGCTTGAAGATGAAACAACTAAATTTGGCGAATGGATATGTTCAATTTTTGAACAATACTTATTAGATTTGTTTACTTGCTGATTGGTAAAAACTGATGGCATTTGTGGATATTTATTTGTCGAAACAGAATTGCATATTTGGAATACTGATCAAATCTTGAATCCTCGATCGATCACCAGACGACGTTCTACCAATGAGTAATTTTTTTCGTTGCGTTAGAGTGCCTTATAATAAAAAGTTGTGTGCTGAAGAAAATTTAAAAAAATAAGATACTGAATAATTAAATACAAGCCCTTTGGGAATATGTTCTTGCCCGTAAATCTTTAAGATAGTATTAGACAGATGGTCAATAATCTTCAATATCAAACAAAAAAATGTTCACAATTTATCGTAATCTGATTCACACAGTAATCTCATTGTTTCTCTAATAAAATGTATTTATGTATACGTGAAAAACACATCTAATGATTAGGTCAGGCTAAATTTACCTGTTTCTTGCTCTATTTTCAACACACTTAATAGTAGTTTTAAAATTTGACTAATACAGTATCATTAATAATGATAAGAAATCATCTAACTGTAACAAACAGATGTAGCATTGATGTTGATCACAATTATGACATATACGAGCTCATTGAAAAAACAAAAATATCAACAAAAACAAAACTAACAAACAAGTTTTTTGCAAGTAGTAGAAATATACTTTCGCTTGATAATTAACGTCAATTAAATGTTGGAATAAATCTTTGTAAAACAAATGCTATCATTTAAAGCGAAGATGTATGTTGCAATATTATGAAACAAAACTGTTGTACACATATGTTTGTTTTCTCTCTGATATTTAGTATTCCATTGCAGTACACGAATAAACATGACTGATTTGTTTTCTTCCTTCTGTATAAACTTTTTTGTTCGATCTTTTACGAAGATATAGATATACTAAACACGTTTACTTTATACATTTTGTTTTATCACATATCTCTTTCATAACTATAGTACGTTCATCATTTGATAACAAAAGGTAAGATTAACATCTAAAATATTTATCTGCTTAACTTGTTAGTCTATCAAAAACAGCTGTATAAAAAATCTGTATTTTGAACATTTATCTCTAGCATAGTTCGTGTTTTTATCTCAAGGGTAAACGTGTCTTCGAACAAGAAGCAGTTTATATGTTTATACAGATAAATTCTACACCGTGTCATGATTTGTATTCTTCACAAAAATCTTCAATATCATTTCTTCAGCAATCAATGAAGAATAACTGTAAAATAAATGTATTATGATGCATTATTCTTTAGCTGATATATTGATTACTACCATTTAATTTTATACAATGATAACTAAATGAAAATAAAAACTTTGTCATATATCAGCAAAAGTTAATGCTAATCGTTACGTGAATAACATTAATGGAAATTTATGACGAATAATTGTTACGTTTTTAAAAAATAATCGTGATAACTTATTTTATGTAGTATAGTCTTCTTATGATAATCAGTTTTTTATGATTAGCAACGTCTTTTATCAGTTGAACATACAAACTTCTATAAATATCAGTTGACAATGGTTTATGGAGATGATTATTTTACCAACTTTCGTTCAGTATATGTAGCTGAAAACTCTGTTCCTTCGATTTTATAGTATAATATTTATGAATAAATACTCGATAATTATTTATTTTTAAATTTAAATTAATTAGAATGCTCTCTTTAATAGTCACTCTCTACAGACTCGATATTAGTTCGATCACTTGTTATATAGAGTAGTCGATTTTTATTTCAAGTTGATGATTGATCGGCAATGATTCTCTCTTATAATCCCTTTCACTATATATTAGAGTGAGAATCTTGAGAAACTTCAATTTTAAAACAACGATCTCGAGATACACGATGGTCATAAGATTCTTGTAAGAATAGTTATGATAAAATACTAAATTATCGTGTAAACGAAAATTCTAATTAAATTTTCATATAAAAAAATCAAATGCATTAGAGTTTTCTTGCAAATCGCATGATAACAAATTCTCATAGAAAATAATATATCAAAATGCCATTTTAAAATAAATATTTACGCATAATTTTTCTTTAATAGATAAGAATAATTGACATATTATAAGAATCATAGAAGCATAGTTAAATATACAACAACGATTGTCATCATGATAGGACCGCCTTGTCATACCCTGCAAGGGGAAACTTTTTGTTAGCCCTAATAAAGTTTTACTAACAAACCTCTTTTGTCGCAAACATCTTTGGTTGAAAGTAGTATTTTGCTAGAGTACAAAGCATCTAATCATTTTGTTATAGTTACATTACTGCCCTAGGGAACAAGTTGTAGTTTTTCCAAATGCTTACGGTTGCTTAGAATTTGAGTACCAAAATTATCATTACTTTGGCAATTTTCTAGTGACTTGATTTAATGACCGTAAGGTGTACGATAGTTCAAAACAATCGCTTGCTAGAGTTGATTCGAAGAAGCATGACTGACATTTGCTCAAATATGCGGTGCACTGGTGTATCTCATGATAAATATGTTTCTATCGTCGTAAAAACTAGAAAGAGCTTCACCTCAGATCGCTAAGAATGACTAGATTAATATCAACCGAACCATATAAAATAATTACAAAATATAATAAAATATGATTTAAATGAGGATATTTTGCTCTAATTAACACCTGTTTTTCAGTCTCAAGTTTTGATCTTATCTGACTGCTAAGAGTTTTTTCTTACCTGCTTAATTCATCATGATTGATTGATAAATTTCATTTGATCGGTTAGGGGGATTTGAAAATGACTTGATAATCAGAAAAAACAATAAGTTACAACGAAAGATTATATTTTAATGAAATGAAAATGGTATCATTCAAATCAGGTTTTAATAAAAAAATAATAATGAATCTGCATCATATGTCTCGACGTTTTGTTTTTATATGGTGAATGAATCAAGCCGGAACTGTCAAAAAATTAGTGACCTTTATTACGTAAGGGACCTGTTAGGTAGTTATGATTAATCGACTTAAACTAAAATTTATAAGATACCTCACACGCAGAGCTGTCTTCCCCTCAGAGTGAAAAATGTGCCCTGTGACGCTTTCTGGTGTACAGTTACTGCTTGGAATTGCTTTAAAATAAAAACTACATAAGGTTTGCAGGAGAAATTTTCGGAAATATTTATAAAAGTTAATATTAAAAATACTATTATCTACCATCTAACTTTATAATCGAGTTTGCGATCAAGAGTTATCCATCTTTGAACATGATGAATTGTTGCATCGAATTGCAGTTGATGAAAATGTTGTTTTTTGTAATCCAGCAATCCTGTAGGATTTCTTAATCTGATGAATCAATAGATTAAAAAATTGTCATTGATAATTATCAGATCCACTATTTTTCGAATCTTGTCTACTAATTATACTGCATATAAATGAATTAAACAAAACAATTTGTCATGAACGTATCGTGTGTTGTAACCAAGATCAGAATACTCTTAATCGAAGTGAGTTTGAAAGTAGACTAACAAGAAAACATACAAACAGTAATCATTTATAAATAAACATAATTATAAAATAAATTTTATAACGAATAAAAAGTATAATTAATCATATTTTCCTAAGTTGCATAAGTTAAAACTCCTATTTATATCAGATAATCATAGCTTCTCTTAAAAACTGTCGTTTTTCGATATTTCATATGACAAATAATTAATAATATTTTATTTTATGATATTTAGTAAAGTATGTCGAATCATTCCTATAAAAAGACAAATGGTGCTTCGATCAAACAGCCCCTAAGTAAAATACAGATGCTCAACTCCAAAAATGCGGAGCTGCAAAGAGAGCTTCAAGAAGCGAAACGTACTGCTCATCCTACAAGAAGAGAACTGGAGAGAATACGACATAGAAGCATGCAGCATCGACGTGCTAAAAATGACTTAATCTCAGCCAATTATTGGGTGAAAAGTGCACTGTTTATTACGCTGATACTTAGAACGGTGCTCGTTGCTTACGTAGGTACTCCAACTATTATTAAGACGGTATTTCTCAAATTAGGACTAAAAAGCGAAATACCTAGTTATTTTTTATGGCGTGTGGATGATAGAGTCAGTAGTGTCATTGTGAGTATCATTGGCTTGACAGTGTCAATACCTGCACAACGAACTTTTCCAGCACCCTGGCGTTCCTTCATTGGTGCTTTTGGCTTTGCTATCAAGCAAATGTTTGATATATTTTTGCCACCATGGTGCATCGTTATTTTACCTGTATTCGGTGTCTTTGCTATTCTTACTTTTGATGTGGACCGCCGAAAACAGGTTAGTAGTGATATCAAACGAAGGTCGCATGACTTTTAACTACCAGTAAATACATTACGAAAGCAACACATAGAATAAATAGTATTCTTCAATATGACATATTCAAGTGTTAATTTCTAAAATATGATGTATTTTAAAATAATTCCTGTCTTTGTAGAACTGCGAAGCTTGCTTTAAATCTAGTAATCCCTTCCATATAAAAGAAGACCCGGTTCTTGTATTCGGAAAGTTTTAACTTTTTAAAATTTCTCTTAACTTGAGCTCAGTATGCATTAAATCTGTATATTCTGTGATTTTGAATTGGGTAATGTTTTTCAGCTGTTTGTTTATTGAAAAAAGCACTATAGAAAGCCGATATTGTTCTAGTGAAGTATCGAAACACTTATGGATAAAAATTCTTAAAATATGACTATGAAGGTACTCAAAATACAGATTCGGTTCTCATGATAGAAAGCATTTTGCAGAGAAATATTTATCATACAGTCGTGCTCCATAAAAACTAAAGTCCAGAAAATAATGCTGGATGTTGAATCTGTCGAATTACTTTTTATTTCAACACATTACTTATTAACATAGAGCTAGCAAACTTTTCTAGGCCTATAGAAACATAGAGAGAGAATAATTTTAATAATAAACTTGTAGTATACTATTAGCAACACGCTCTAGTATGCACCAGATTATTTACAAGCAAAGATATAAAACTGCATATCGCTGAGAGTACACAATAAATACAAGAGCATCTATCGAAGTAATTTATCTAAAGCCATGTTGATTGAGAAACAGAGCTTAAAATTCACAAGACATGTATTTTAAGATTTTTGCCAGAACATCATTTTTAGTAGATCAAAATCGACAATATTAACTATCTCACGTGACTAATGTTTAGATTCAATGCATATTTGTATATAATGATCTACATGTAGAAATCTAAAAGTAACAGTAGTCACTATTATAATTTGTGTACCGCCTTCTTCATCGCGATCACTCAAAGTAAAAAGAACATCGTACTAGGCTAATTTGAAGATAGAATCAATTCTTTATAATTTCAGTGGATGTTTCCGAGCACACTAGTCGATCTACTTATAGTTGAAGATCTTTTGTTTGTATAACATATTCTCGATATAATTTATGGATTTTCCCCAAAACATTGGAATATATTTTGGAAGATGAGAATAAGTTAGTGATTGTTTTTATATTTTTTAGATTGATATCGAAGATCGAGGCGACGTCGTAGAGTGAATGTGATAAAGCATCAAATCAAACTCGATATGACATTTTTCGCATGTGATGATTTCATTTGTTTTTGTTTTTTTATATTCAAACTGTTGTTGAAAAGAAGAAATATTTTATTATCTTCACTTTCTGCTATAAAACTTTTTCGTTTGTTACATAACCGGTTTCTATTCAAGTTTGAATGATTCGATCCTGTTCCAAACGTAATGAATTGATGAGAAACAAATGTTTAGAATATACGATATTTGTAACAGCGAATTTCAAGTAGGATTGCTAACCACGATGGAAAGTACAAATAGCAGCTGAAAACACATTGTGAATCAATTCATGAATATTCTTGATTTACAATATCTAGAAATCTAGCAGCCGATACAATTGTAGCAAGTTAAAAAAACCGTTACACAATAAAGTGAGAATGCTAATAGCAAATAAGAAATATATGTCGTATCGAACATCGGTCGACGAAGTTGTAACTTCATCGTGCCATATTGGCGAAATTACAATTTCGATAATAAAAAATCCTCCGAGCTATTTTTAATTCAATTATCATTAAACAATTTACCAAGTGGAATGTTCTATTGTTGAGTGTATATTGAAATTCTTTGTCCACGTATGCTATCTATTGAACAATACACGTCGAGGTCATATTACTATTAATATTATTAGTTAGATCATACGACAAATAAAATAAAGAGTGCTTATCATGATGTAGATGGTTGATGTCAGTTTTGAAATCGGATATTTATACCATTTTGTTTTCTTGACAAATATGAATATATTATTTGTGTTGATGTTATCCAAAATATGTTACACAGAAAGTAACTATGACTTCTGAATTACAGACATAGATTCAAAATGTCAAGAATTTGTCATATCTTAAAAAACGCTAGTGACTTGTCAAGTTTGTTTTAAGATTGTTTAGGACTAGCAACAATTCCAAAGCATTAAGCAACGCTGAAAAACATTTTCGAAAACAAGTAATAAATTTATGTGGATGTTTTCGTGTATCACTGAGTGCAGCTGATCGTCCTACTTCGATAAATTCTAAAACTTTTATCTAAGCGATATTCCACGAAAAACTATGCATACTACCTGACAATAATAAAGTGTTTTATGTAATGCATCATATGAGAATCGACTAGTCTATTTGTTTAAATAATTTTACGATGCAGGACAATTTTTGTTTTTTATTTAACATAATTAAATAAAATTTAATTTAAAATCTTTAAATAAATAAATAAAATTTAATTTAAAATCTTTAAATAAATAAATAAAATTTAATTTAAAATCTTTAAATAAATAAATAAAATTTATTTAAAATAATAAATGTTTTATCGTTCATGATTCAATATTTCGTCCTTGTTTATACGGACATTGTCTAGAAATTGTTGATCCTTGTAGTTGTTGAGATTGTTGTTGTTCTTTTGTTTATTGTCGATGTTCTTGTTTTAATACGATTTTGTCTTTCTTTTCCACGACCTGATGTTTTCTTCTTTTTAACATTTCCAATTCCACGACCTGATGTTTTCTTCATTTTTAACATTTCCAATTCCACGACCTGATGTTGTTGACTTGATCGTTTGACTTTAGTTTGTATCAGATATTTCTGATGCTAATTTTACATAATTAAGTGCCTAGGTTTTTGTAGTTGAAATGTTCTTTTGTTTGTAAGTGGTGGTTGGTGAGGAAATATTGCTTGCATTGTTAGAGTGTCAGATGCTTGGTGCTCGGGTATCAATTGTTCGTTGCAGGATAGTTCAGATGTGCTTTTTTGTATTCGTGTTATGTGGTGAGTCAATCTTTAATATGATTAGTCCTCGTCATTGTCCAGTTGTGCTTTGCTTCTTGCCTTTCCTTGAAATATGATTGTGCTATATGTAGAAATGGAAATGAATCATTAATGTGTGTTTATTTATTCCTTTATTTTAGTCGTTACTGATAGGTTGATGGTTTAATTTATTTTATTCGAAGAGTGATTACATTTGTTCGTTGTTTTTTATTCCATCAGGATAGATGTACAAGGGCATTGATCGTTCAGTTCCATTGAGTTGAGGAGCTCGTGTTATTATTAAAAGGGATTCTTTAATTTTTAGCCTGTATTTGCGTTTTTCGTTGTGTAAAATCTTAAAATTCTCCTCTGTAATTATATGGTTTGTCGCGATATAGTGTTTTGTTATTGATGATTTTGGTATTCGAATATTTTCTTTTTTTTCTTTTAGTTCCGTTTGATCCAACAGGTGATCAAGGTCCGCGTAATTCAACTTAACAACCACTGGTGGGAGCTTGCCTGTTTTTGATCTAGTAATTGGACCTGTGTACTTTATTGTCGTTTTAGTTTCTTGTTGATTCTTTTTTTTTCTTTGTTTAGATTTTGTTGACGGTTTGACTGTTGCTGTTTGAGGCAAGAATTTCTTTAGATCTAGTATGTGCTCATGAATTCTTGTTTTTAGGTGGCGATACGTTTGTCCTATGTATGCTTGGTTGCAAGTGCTACAAGTTGCTCCATAAACTACACCAGATTTGAACTCATCAGCAATCGAATCTTTCAATTGGGAACCACGTCCAATACGGTCTGTCACATCATATACAACGCGGATTTTTTTAAACGGATAGAGCTTCGCAGCTGCTGCTGTTACGCGTTTGCCGTATATTTGAGATTCAGCTCCGAAATATGGAACACGTAGTACTACTGTATCTGTAGTAGTTTCTAAAGGTGTAGGTGGGGCAGTTGGTTTTTGTAAATTTAGCTGTCGTTTAATAATTGAGTTAACAAATCTTGCCGGATAGCCATTTTTAGCACATAATCCTCTGATGAAATCGAACTCTTTGTGAAGCGAATTCTTCGACGAACATATTTGAATTGCCCTGTAGATTATAGTGGAGATCGCGCTATATTTGTACCTTTTCGGAACAAAACTGCTCCACTTTGTCATTAAACCAGAGAACGTTGGTTTTCTGTACATACATGTTTGAAAATCGGCACCAGGCTTCCTTCGAACAAGTACATCTAGAAATGGCAATGTGAGTGTAGTCGGATCTTCCTCTTCACTGGTGAATTGAATCGAAGGATGACATTTCGATAGCTCAGCGCAAACATGCTTTGTAGTAAACTGTGAGCTGAGCAGTACGAAAGTGTCATCAACGTATCGTTTCCAATAGACGATCCCCAACTCTTGTAACAATGATGAATTTTTTCTCTCGAATTCTTGCAGAAAAATTTCTGCAAGGAGAGGAGCTAGTGGAGATCCCATTGATACACCGTCAATTTGATCATAAACTTTACCATCAAAAAGAAAATGAGAGTTCTTTGTGGCAAAGATTAATAGCTCCTTCATATCATCTCGTTTCATAATTGGCGGTATTGGTTGGATTACATATAACGAGTTGAGAATGATTTCAATAGTTTCGTTGATTGGTACATTTGTATATAAACTAGAAACATCGAATGATACCATGCGATGTTTCGAAAAATCCTTCGATAATGTTCGCACTTCTTTGAGAAAATCAAAAGAATCACGTATCATG